CGAATTAAGCATTGAAAAATAATTGTTGCGTACGCAACGAATTACTCATTTAAAATGTTAGATACACAGAGAGTTTAAAATAAATGCGTACGGAATATATTTATAAAAATCGCTTGCGTAATGAAAAAGACATCGATTGCTATAAAGTTGTACTGTTAGTATAGGATGAGTGATTTTTGATGAAATCATTTCCATTATATTTAAATTGGTTTTGATTGGGAATGACAGAACATACCTGCTTAGTAAACTTACTCAATGGTATAATGACTGAAATACGCACATATTTGAAAGCAGTGGGTAACAGAAAAAGAAATACCCACTCAACATTCATAATACCCACTCCAAAAAAATACAGTGGGTACAATACCCACATGAGCTAAATCTTATCTGGAGCTCTGTGTCTACTTCAGAAGTAAGACCAAATTCAAAACAAAAACCTCGTGTTTAACATTAACTTAACTTACTGCTACACAGGTTCTGCATGAAACAGCGAGTGAGTGAGTGAGTTTAGTTTTACGCCGCATTCAGCAATATTCCAGCTATACGGCTGTGGTCTGTGAATAATAAAGTCTGGACCAGAAAAAACAGGGATCAACAGCATGAGCATCGATCTACACAAATGGGATACAATGACATGTGTCAACCAAGTCAGCGAGCCTGACCACCCGATCCCCGTTAGTCGCCTCTTACCACAAGCATGGGTTACAGGTCAATATTCCAACCCGGACCTTTGTGGGTACTGCATGAGACAGAAAGCTGTTTGATATTGACTTAGACAGAAATGTTAGCCTTATGATTTTTCTCTTTCCTACCAGATTTCACCTTGTATTTCATTGGTAAAATATCAGCTACTCAGATCTGAATTTGACCAGTAAAAAAGTATCCATCAGGACTGCCTGGCTAGTGCTGTTATAAAAATTTCACACGCTAATGGCTGTGCCTTTGACCCCACATCCAACCACGATAAACACCACTGGCCACTTTGATCACTTGATTTTCAAACTAGTCAGTTTTGAAATCCAAGAATACTTAGATCAAAGAAATTCACACCAGAGCCCTGTTCCAAGCAGCAATCTCAGGTCAAATGGTGTTTATGATTGTGTTAGCACAAGGATCTGACACCTTTCACCTTGAATTATATGTTAAAAATGTGAACATTTGAATTTTGTTCACCAAAAAACATTAAGTTCACATGAAATTCAATATTCTCAATGTAACACTTATTGCATTTAATCCCTATCAAACAAAAGGAATTTTTTCTCCAATCTCTTATACAGAAATGCCAACATCATTGGACCATGGTATAAAAAAATTGTCAGCCTTGAACATATCACAGTACTGATGAAAGGGAAATTAAAAATCCCTGTATCCATTCTATCAATGCTTTTCTCTACAGATCTGCATCAATTAATCTGAAGACAAATATAACAATATTTCATCAAGTACATCATCCTAATGTCAGAAGACAAACATAGTTATCTCCCTTCATCACTTTGCAGCAGTAACACAATACTCAGTTCAGATAGTGAGACAATTTATATTAGTTTATTACAAGTGGTATATATTCAGCAGTGTGCGAAATAGTTTCCACATTTTGATAGTCAGTTGGGCTAGCTATGCCTGAAGGTTACCTGCCCACAAAATAATCCACTAGCCTGAAATCTGAAGGCAGAAACTAAATAGATGAGAATAAGATATTGTCGGCACGACACAGGTTTCATCATTAAGCTGCAAAATATGATGAACATTTTTATCCCGCCATAATCTGGCATGATTTGAAAAGGTATTATAACTTAACAAGTTTGAAAGAGTGATATATTTACAAAATTATCCCATGAAAATTCACTAGCCAGTCAGGCCACATTCTCTTCCCACAGAGGTTACTCCTGTCATATCTTCCTACGTAACCTGTGTTCTAATACGGCCCTTTCATGGTGTGAGCGTTCAAGACTCGTGATTGGTGGCAATCAGATTTAGTTGTGCAATCAGCGACGTTGTTTCAAAAGTGATCATTCGCAAGGCCTTGGTAATTTCCGTATGCTTCGAGAAAACTAAACTTCTTCCCCTGCGCGATGCACAAACGTTTCTTCTAGACAGAACTCAGTCATGTTATGGTGGATCAGTGGCGTCTCCATCGCCCTCGTTGACAACGGACAAGCTAGCCATTAAACGTCTTGTGTGTAACATCAACACAAGTCCCCGGCAGATGGGGGATATTTGTGGCCCCACATTTGCTTGTGTTAGTCAAGTTGAATCTAAGTCGATGTAACACGTGTTCTGATTGGATAGAAAGAAGGGGGATAATTCGTGTTGCGATCTTTTGCCGCTAGGGGATTTTACGAGAACCCGGAAATATGGCCGTATTAGAACTGAGGTTCGTAGGAAGATATGACAAGTAACCTCTGTGGGAAGAGAATGGGCAGGCCACTGACTGTGGAGATTTACTGGCCTGATGGATTTTCACAAGCCAGTGGCTATTTCGCACACTTGTTCAGCCTTCAAAAACAGAACTTGCTAAATCATTCAAGTTGTAACTCTGAGTTGATTATTGCTGCCTATATACTAAGGCTTAGTTTCTGAATATATATATAATTTTGATAGTAACAGATAAACCCATTAAATTGAAAAGGAGCCCCAGTGAGATGGGAGATTCAGACGAACGTAAGGAAATCTAGACTTGCTTCATTTACTGCTTTAGCACTGCATGGAGGGCTCGGCAGTAGGGAAAATAATGTGGTTCAGGGACTGTGAGACAGACTATGCTGCCTGCTGCAACATGAGTGATGATTCTACCGCTAAGACAAATTTGCTTCATGAATTTGACTGGTATGATACTTTACGGATGACAACATCTTTATGACATTATGATGCAACATTTTGGTATAGATTCTTATCCCATTGTCAAGCAAGAGTGAAGTACTACAGCACAGAACAGGCTTATAAACATTAAACAGGGACATCATATAATATACTTAGAAAAGAAAAACAAATAAAGGATCACAGGAAAATTCAAGCGTTCCTTTATTATTTCCCAGTTTTCATCACCACAGCGCTATTCAAAACTGGTGATGAAAACTGGAAAATAATAAAGGAACGCTTGAATTTTCTCTCAGTATATAATAAAGAAGTTGTAAAGAAGTTTTTAACATTGTATATATTAACATCACATTCAATGAAGTAACACAAAGCATTAAAGCCCCTTTGTCTTCGCTGATCCTGTTATCAGCCTGGCCAAGCCATCACATTAACCATTTGTACAAGAAAAGGGGAAATGTCTTAATTCAAATTTGGGCATTTTACTGACTTCTGCTGAAGACTTGGGTCAAGGCCCTGCTTAGATGTCACCCAAAAACACAACCATTGATCTGAGATTTTCATGTCCAAGTGTAGGTAAACAAGTGAATCCACAGTCTTGTAACAATGTGTATTAGTCATGTGGTGAAGTATAACCAGTGTCATAAATATCATATGTGCACATATCACTTTTGCCTAGCAACCATTGTTTCTGTATTTCGTCGTCTGTGACGTCATTAAACAACTGAACGTGACATCAATGGAGAGGGCTGTCATACTTACTTACTATGTTTTACTGCACAAATGTACATGAATAAAATGGATAATAAACAAATTATTACACTCACAAGTGTGCGACACGATTTATACGAAAGTCGTGTAAGCTTATGCATTATGTTTAATACTAGTACATAATTTCACACTCGTTTCGTATAAGGCACACTTGCTTGTGTAATAATCTTTATGTATCAGGTCAAGAAATAGCATCATCTCATATCACATGCAGTGTATTTCAACACCTCTACATGACTTGGACCAAATGATCACCTGGTGAGATTGCCATAGATGTTATTGAAAGCACAACATGAAATGGTGAAATGGTCCAAGGGGGGATAACTCCATTTAGAATATTGACCCTCATTTCACAATTTCTCCATTCCGATCATCTCTACAAGTGGTTAAGAAATACTTTACATGAAATTATTACATTTTAGTCATCAACAAATCTTCCACATAACACAACTGGTAAACTGATCCGTGTATGAAGAGGACACTTCACAAAGAGCTATGCATCATGTACATAGTCACTATTGATTGCACAGACAACCAGGGGAGACAACTCATGGTCACATGACTTGCTAAAGCTTACATAAAATCCCTACATGAAGAGAAACAGCTAATCAATTATAACACTATTTTATTGATATAACAATATTTCAGTTATATGCTACTTTAGTGAGACAGCAAATCAGGCATAAGGAACTGTTCATAATTTATGGCTGGGGAGGGGGAAAAACATGATGATATTTATGGAGAAACATATACAATGCAAAAGGTTCCTGATTTCTACACTAAACGACTGACTGACTGAGTATGGTTTTACCCGTTTTTAGCAATATTCCAGCAATATCATGGCGGGGGACACCAGAAATGGGCTTCACACATTGTACCCATGTGGGGAATCGAACCCGGGCCTTCGGCGTGACGAGTGAACGCTTTAACCACTAGGCTACCCCACCGCCCCTTACACTAAACGAAGCCATAGGATCCAGAAACAACTAAGGGGTACAACTCTATGCTTCCAACGCATAAATCTTCCACATTTATCAGTGACACAAAGTAAGTAACACCTTCAACAGTGCGTGAGTTGGGTTCAACATCACTTTGAACAGTATATCGTGGCATGTAGGTTTAACGTGTGAGGAAGACCTAAGTACTGAGACACAGGGGTTTACTATTTTGTTGAAACCCATGAGCACAAAGTATGATGTTGACAAACTCAGAAGTTTAATCATGGCAACGGTTTCTGACAGTACCCTTGACAACTTGGGCCGCCTTCAGAACCAGACAATCAACAATCACGGTATGGCCCTGAAAGATCCAAGTATATCAAGGATCACAGCTATATTGCAATTCATCTATCCAAATCAGTAGATCCTGGCACAAGTAAGGGATGTAACTCCATCTAAGCAGACAAAAACACTCACCATTTATCATATTTATCCTTCTGGTTGTTGTCAAACTTGACTTTCCATTTGGCCTCTGCTGCATTGACCTTGACAACCACTCCAGGGTACCTTCAAAGTTGAGTGAGTGAGTGAGTGAGTGAGTCTGGTTTTACCACATTTCTAATATGAATATTTACTGTTGGACTAAATTGTTCAGTAAAACATCAGTCTTGAGGATGTCCGCATTTTAACAATGAAGTCACAACATACTCACCATTTATTATTTACATATGCTTCTACTCTCTGACCTATTTCACCTGAAAGATATAAAACAACAGAACCAGATTAGTATTAACTGCTTGGATACGATCAAGTATCACTTCAATGGGAATCCTTTAGTCTTTAATTACTCCAGGTTTTATTTAGCCTGTTCATGTTTATGTTATCTTGTTTTACGCTTTGCCACGGAAACCTGCGAATATTCAAATCTGCACAAGATAATCAAGTGACTGGTATTATCAACACAGATCCACTCCTTCTAGCAAGTGAGTGAGTTTAGTTTTACACAGCACTCAGCAATATTACAGGTATATGGTGGCGGTCTGTAAATAATCGAGTCTGGACCAGATAATCCAGTGATCAACATGAGCATCGATCTACACATTTGTGACACGATGACATGTGTCAACCAGGTCAGCGAGCCTGACCACTCGACCCAGTTAGTCGCCTGTTATGACAAGCATGGGTTACTGAAGATCAATTCTGGCCAAGATCTTCACGGGTCCACTCTTCTAGATACAACGACAAGGAGTCTACCAATCCACTAGTTCTCTTGCAACCAGCAACCAGAAAAGTTCTAACAGACAATCTAACAATTGATCATGTTTACACAATGCAAAACCTTTCTACCCTGTTCTTTTGATCACATTAAGTGAGTTCTCAATGTATTTTAGGTGACGATGACCAAGATGGCTTACGCATGTGGTCAATCACTGGTCATCTGCTACCCAGAATGAATTTTGCCAAATATCAATGGTAAGGCTTAAAAAAGGGAAAATGTTTTTTGAGCACTGATGGATGGATCACTTAATACTGATACAAAAAGACAGACCTACTATAGGCATTGATGTTTAACTTCAAATTGTGCAAGTATGTCATTTTCACAGTAAACACATTGTGCTCCAAATGTCCTGCTTTATATGATGCACATCCTGTTATCCAGAACACATGCTTGATAACAGGCATGTTTAAAAGCATATAATACATAACAAGTTGTGTTTCATTGCATTAATGGTTAAAGAAAATTTCAAATACATTAACAGTGCTATCCTCTTCATTTTTAATAAATATTTTGATTCAGAAAAATTATGCAGCCTAATGTTAATTTGAGATCAATGCCTGACTTCATGTGCAAATAAGATAGCGATATGTATGTCTGTTCTTTTGAAACTACTTCCAGTACTGCCTCAGCACACTCTGGTCTTTCACGCCATTATCATTCCCTCTCATCGCAGCATATGTACGTTTTGTATCTTAAAAATTAATGGATAAGGCCTCTTCCCCCAAACGGTTATTATCCAGAAAGTACTTTGGCATGAGTTATATTTTCTCAAAAAGAGCTGACTGACTGACTGAGTTTTGGTTTTACGCCGCTTTTAGTAATATTCCAGCAACATCACGGCGGGGGACACCAGAAATGGGCTTCACACATTGTACCCATGTGGGGATTTGAACCCGGGTCTTCGGCATGACGAGCCAACGCTTTAACCACTAGGCTACCCCACCGCCCCTCTCAAAAAGAGAAAACTGACATCTGATTGGCCCTGGACTCTACACATTCTTCCTTTAGATTGGATTCACCTGAAGTGACATCCTTCAGATAGAAGGAGGGTTTGTCAGATGTTCTTGTGGAGAGCTTACTGTCCAAACTTAACTGACGTTAGAAATGGCACAAGACAATGACCATCAATGTGCTACATTGCTACATACACTCCAGCAAATAAACAAGAATATACTTTGTGTGGTAATATACTCACCATTACTATCAGCATCTTTTATACACACACTCTCTGTGACGTCATCAACATCCATTCCCAAGGCATTGGACACACCTGTTGCATCGGCTTCATTCTCTTCAAAATCCTGTACAGGGAACAAATCAGTACATCAGATACGACATGACAGAAACTACTTGATCCCCGAGCACACAACTCTGGACCAGACAATCCAGTTATTAATATGAAGAGCAGTGATGCTTGTCAATATGGTAGGAGGACCAAGAGTCACAAAGCCTGACCCCCAAATCCTCTTATGACCCTGTGGGGTCAGTACCACATACAATGATGGCCGAGTTTTTAGAAATACGGGGACAGGGTCTACTAAATGCAAAGCGTCTCAATTTGTTTACTTGTCTGCCCCAGGCCGGAGATTGTGGATTACACTTCCTCAGTATAGTACAGATTCTAGTAATTTTGTTAGGTTGAGTGCCATCCAGAATTTGGACCCTCATTCTCAGTCAGGCACCTAATCTCCAGCACACAAAGTCAGCAATCTAACCCACTCAGCCACCGCGGCTTGCACAAAATATGGGAATCAGACAACTGGGAGTTTAAATTATGTACCTTGTGGCTGACATGACACACCATGACAGCACTGGATTACGGTTGAAAGCAGCATTTAACAAAATTCACTCGCTCCTTCAGATATCATCATAATGCTATGGTTGCTGTCTTAAGACAGATGTCCACTGTAAATGATGGGCTTGACAACCAGCTGTGCGTGAGTATGGTTTTACACAGCTTAAGTAATATTCCAGCAATATCACGGCAGGAGTAGTATACACAATGGGGGTATGGGACCAGGTCCTCCCAAGGGCTCAATTTTTTAAGAATTTCGAACATCAGGGTTTTTTTGCTTGAGTTTGCTTGAATTTTGCTTAAATTGAAGCAAAATTCTAGCAAAAAAACCCCCAAATTCAAGCAAAATTCTAGCCAAAAAACCCCCGATGTTCGAAATTCTGAAAGAATTGAGCCCGTGGGAGGATCTGGTCCCGTACCCCATTGTGTATACTACTACAGAGGACACCAGAAATGGGCTTCACACATTGTACCCATGTGGGGAATCGAACCCAGATCTTCGGCATGACGAGTGGACACTTTAACGGATAGGCTACCCCCAACCCCCCCGACAACCAGTCAGTTAGGATGAGCAGCTTAAAGAGGAATGGCTTTAAACTCCTGCCTGCAGACAGAACTAAACCTACCTCTGGTTTTGATGGTGAAAATATTCCTGGTTTAGGTTGTTTCTTTGGTACTGGAGTTTCAGAGTCGGAATCTACTGTGTGGGTTTTCGTTCGTTTGGCTGGGGCCGTTTCTGAGTCAGAGTCACGTGACTGTGAGTTTCGACTTCTCCGTGACTCAGTATCGGACTCTGCTGTAGATGAAGCTGACGATGCCCTCCTCTTGATAGCTTCCGCCTTGGGTGTTGGAGACTTCAGGTCATTTACCTGAACATGAAAACAGTAACCCAAGCTGAAAATATCTGCCAAGTGTTCTCATGCAAACTATGTCACTGTTGAGTGAGTGAGTGAGTGAGTGAGTGAGTGAGTGAGTGAGTGAGTGAGTGAGTGAGTGAGTGAGTTTAGCAATATTCCCGCAATATTCCCACAATATCACAGCGGGGACACCAGAAATGGGCTTCACACACTGTACCCATGTGGGGAATCAACTCAGGTCTTCGGCATGACGAGCTAACGCTTTAACCACTAGGCTACCCCACTGCCCCCTGTCACTGTTGAACACAATCAACAAAGTCACACAGAAAATACTATGTACTACTTCCCCAATTAACAAGCATGTGTTGTTTGCTTTAAAAATCACAATATTCCCCTTTTTCAACACAGAGCTCTTCCTGTACAGTGCAAAGCCATATGAGCATCTGTCAACATCTGCCTCACAGCTTGGGTTGTATACTGCAGGGAGGTGAAAATTGAGAAAACACTTACAACACTGTAGATCATATGCTGCTTACTGTAATTTGGAATAAGTGTAAACTCCGAAACAATCCAAAATAGTTTCTAGTACAATAGTGAGTGAGAGAGTTGGGTTTTATGCCACTTATAGCAATATTCCAGCAATATCCTGGCGGGCAACACGAGAAATGGGCTACACACATTGAATCCTGGACTTTGGTGAGACGAGCGAATGCTTAACAACTAGGCTACCCACCCCTCCCCTAGTACCATGACTTTAGCCATGTGACCAACCTTGGACTTGACAGCAGTCTTGGGACTGGGCTTGGGGGTGGTCCTTGGACTAGGTTTGGGTGACACCTTGGCGACCGTGGCTCTGTTCTTGGCTGCAGCAGCATGGTTTGATTTTCGAGCTGGTTCCGGCGTCCTCACTGTGGCTGTTCTTGATGGGCCTCTAGAGACAGTCTTCATGGCAAAAATAAAACATGGTACAGCAGGATGGTCAGAGAATAAATGCAGAAATACCTCAAAGCCTGGATAGTTCATTTTGTTTTACTTGGAGGATGTCCCTTAGTCTTGCAATCCCATGTAATGCCATGATTTTCAGAGAACATTTCCCATCAGGGCAAGAATATTTATGTAATTGTTGTCAGTAGTCCTCTCTCAGAATTTTTCTTCATTTTCATTGGTTAATTCAGACATGTTATGTTATTGTTTTCACATTTTGGAAAACAATCTGTAGCAAAACAATGTCACAATTATTTCAAGTTGCATCAAGTTTCATTCACGAGTGAGTGAGTGAGTGAGTTTAGTTTTACTCAGCAATATGGCGGCGGTCTGTAAATAATCGAGTCTGGACCAGACAATCCAGTGATCAACAGCATGAGCATCAATCTGCGTAACTGGAAACCGATGACATGTGTCAACCAAGTCAGCGAGCCTGACCACCCAATCCTGTTAGTCGCCTCTTATGACAAGCATGTGTTACTGAAGGCACATTCTAACCTGGACCTTCATGGGTAGTTTCATTCCAGATATCATGGACATTGTTTTCACCTGAGGTAAGTTTCAAAGTGGGTAAAACATATCAAAAGTCTTCTATTCTAAGACTTGTACATTTCAGGAAGCACCAATGACATATTAAAGATCGGCAGATGACAACTCTGCAGCAGAATGCTTTTGCAAACTTGACCCTGGTCTTCATTTGTCATTATGAAACACATTTCTTGACATGTGAATGAATGTCTAAATTCCCTGGCTTAGAACTTACAAAGCTTGTTGCAACCCTTCAAACCCTGTAGTCCTCTGAATGTACTGCATGAAAACCTTTAAAACTAGTACTTCCTGATTGAGACTATCAATGAAGTTTTTACAGCCCCATATGTGTACAAGGACACTTTTAAAACAACCAGATTGACTCTAGTCTTGGATGAGTGTGTGAGTGAGTGAGTTGGGTTTTACACCGCTTTTTGCAATATTCCAGCAATACCACGGCAGGGGGACAACAGAAATGGGCTTTACACATTGTACCCATGTGGGGCATCGAACACAGGCCTTCAGTGTGGCGAGCGAACGTTTAACCACTGGGCTACCCCACTGCCCCTCTAACTGTAGAAACATGGACATCTTCAAAACATTTTCTTCCTCACCTTCTTTGCCTTCTCTCGCTCCTTTTCCCTCTCCCTTGCCTCAGCTTCCCTCTCCTCTCGTTCCCTAATTAGTCGCTCCCTCTCTCGCTGCCGTGCCTCCTTCTCTCGCTGTTTCTCTCTCTCCTTTGCCTCCTTCTGCTTCTGTCTCTCAGCTTCCTCCCTCTGTCTTTCCTTCTCCCGTATCTCTCGCTCCTTCTCCTTCAGTTTCTCTTCTTCTCTCATTCTCTGTAGCTCCTGCAGCTCTTTTGATGACTTGATTACTTTGTTTCTCTGAATATACAGATAGAGGGACATTATGGTCTGTTTGTTGTTTATCGCCAACCTCAGCAACTTTCCAGCTATATGGCGGCGGTCTGTAAATAATCATGTCTGGCTAGACAATCTAGTGATCAACATCATGAGCATCGATCTACACAATTGGGATATGATGACATGTGTCAAAGAAGTCAGTGAGTCTGACCACCTGATCCCATTAGTAGCCTCTTATGACAAGCATCGGTTGCTGCAGAACGAGATCTTCATGGGTAGGAAGACATTATTACAGAGATGAGACGTAGTCCCAAATGTTAGTCTCTTCTAGTAGTTTTGTGAGGTTCTGTTCATGAGTGGTTTGGCTGGTCGATAGAAGCCACATTCAGCACTATTCCAGCTATACGAGAGCTTCTTGAAAACTCTCAAGCCTGGATCAGACAATCCAGTGACTGACATTATGAGCAACAATCCCCATTGTCACTCACTCATGACATACAATCAAATAATTCTAAACGACTGACAAATGACAATCCAATTTGTTTAATTGCTACTTTAGGTTTAACACACTAATTTTAATCTGTGTGTCAGTCCGTCCTGTGTGGGATAAGACCATGTACTGCCTTTTAACATCTTTTGGTATGACATGGTGGAGGATCAGACCACCAACCTTTAGTTCTCCAAACAGATGCTAAATCAACCTGATCACGGAAGTGGTCAACACTTTAAAGAAACTGGTAGGACACTTACCTGCATTTTTTCCAACATGTCTTGCTTCTTGCGGATTTCCTGTATAGAAATTAAAACAGTAAATATGCACATCCATCATATATGCTTGAAAACTATCTTTAAATGCTAATTTTATCATTCAGCAGTATGGACACATGCATGACAACGGGACAATAGGCATTTCTCGGGTATTCTGGCACGCAATGCATTGGGTTGATCTTAAAATCATTGCAGTGAATCATGTCAGAAGGGTACTTTCATCTAAGTTTCTAAAGACGTTTCTGCTTGTTTGATGACAAAACAAATCAGAATGTTCCTTGACTGGGGCTATCCATAAACATACATATCAACTAAGTTTGTTATCAATTAGAATGTTACCACAGGGATTTACCACGAGTCTTGTAGTTGAGGGTCCCTGGGACTTATACTCTTAATTTTCAGGGGTCCTGGACAACAAAATGGGGGTCCCAGACACTTAAATATTATTACTAATACTATGTTGTAATATTGTTGTAATTCAGTTACTGTTATTGTATTGTGTACATTGTTACAGTAATTAAATTGCAAATGATACCATAACCCGGTTAGTAGCAGACTCAGTGATAACTTTATCATCTAATGGAGGGTGTTATCGGTGCAATAAAGCAATCTGATAAACTTGGTATCCAAATCTTATAACTATGCAAATTACGTCAATCCACGAACTACTTTCTCAAAACTCCATACATGCCATGCGAATCCTAAAACGTTAACATTTCATTGATGACGTCGTAGCGAGTTTAAATTGCGTGGACGAGTTCGTAAACAAACATGGCTGCCCCCTTTATCAAAATTGGTGATTATGTAAGAATTGATGACAGAGGTTCTGGAGTCGTTACTGCAGTAATTGACTTTGGAAAACATGAAACGAAGAACTTCGTTCAAATTGAAGGTACGGATTATTAGGCACCAGTGACAGGCGATCGTCTAAGAAAGTATTTCGATCTATCGATCACCACAAAGAAGACGAAGAATCGATTCCGTCAGGTATCAGAAACTGATATTGATGAGGTGATTACCCGCAATGAAAATAGAAACACTACCAAGAAAACCCTGCCTGATTTTGTTGTTCTTTTAAGACAGAAAGATCTTATTTTAGTCATGAGATATGTTTGCACTGTATTAGCGACTAGTCACAACCATACGCAGCCGTCATGAACGACCCTCACCTTGGTGTGCCGCTAAGTATTCTTACGCGAATGCTGGATTCTCTTCATACATAAAATCATGTGTACGATTTGCTTCTTTTTTTGGAGTAATTTTAAGAATGACATTATATGATAAAGAGATTATTAACCTTGGGTGTTTCCATATCATTAATATCATGTATTAGGAATAAAAATTATGTATTATGCTCGCCAAAGGCTCGCATAATACAATTTTTATTCCTAATATATGATATTAATGATACGGAAACACACTCGATTAATAATCTCTATGTAACTTGATCAAAAATTTTACAAAAAGTATTCAGACTTTTTCACTAATAAATTTTGTTGTGTCCATTGTCTTTTTTGAAGCGTATAGGAAGCAAGAATTTGTGTCCTGTAAATCCCTGTTACCATACTTTTTAGTCCTAATATCAATGCTAAAATTTCCAATACATGACACACACTGTTGGTCAGCAAAGATCTAATGGAGGTACCCACACTGTTGGTCAGCAAAGATCTAATGGAGGTACTCACTTCTTCCAAGTCCTTCTTCTTTTGTTCCTGAGTCTTCACCTCCTTCTTTAGGATTCCCTCTGGAATATTCATCTTCTGTTCTGCTGATGAACACCTGCAACCGATTGCACCATTAGTGCTGGGGTAGTGGGGTGGCCTAACGGTTAAAGCATTCTCTCGTAACGTCAAACTCGGGTTTGATTCCCCAAATGGGTACAAGGTATGAAGCTCATTTCTGGTGTCCCAGCTGTGATATTGCTGGAATATTGCTAAAAATGGTGCAAAACTTAACTCACTCACTCACTCACCATGAGAGCCAAAGTCAGGGCAAACCTAACTGCCTGCCTTCGCCTCTTAGTGTGGAATCCTACATAGATTTCTAGAAAGACCTACTGGAGTCTCAAGATGTACAAGCCCTCTAAATGAACAGTCACTGATGTGTACAAGCTAATGGTATTACAACCACAAGCTAACAGCTGGATGTCCAAAGAAACTAAACTCTTCTCAGCTAGGACATCCACCTGACCCACAGCATACAATGTTCAGTATCAAGGCACATCTGAGCACCACTTTGAGCAACATTCCAGTTATACTACTTCCTGCAGCTTACTGAGGGGGCAATGATGATGATGTTTTGGGGAAGCATGTGATGTTTTGGGGAAATGTAACACACACACACACTCCAACACACACACACAAAAAATTTATGTACAAAGTAAGTGATCCCCCTGCGTGTCATGTCATGTACAAAATCAATGACCCCTCTCCCCTTCCCATATTTTTTACACATAACTTTAATTATTATATACAACTGACTGACTGACTTAGTTTGGTTTTACGCCGCTTTTAGCAATATTCCAGCAACATCACGACTGGGGACACCAGAAATGGGCTTCAGACATTGTACCCATATTATATACAAACTTGATGACCCGCCACCCCAAGTTAAAGTGTACAAAATTGATGACCCCCACTACATCCCCAGAAAAATGGGTGAAACCCCCACCCCCTTCAAATCATCATCAACACACACCCCACCCCCACAAGCCGTAAATCCTGACGATTGTATTGTGTCATGAAATTCACCAAGTTCCCCTGACTTACTTATTATGCTGTTGCTCTGTGTTCATGTTGCACACCCAGTTGTCAGGGAACTCCTTTCCGATGTTGTTGGAGGAGAACGGAAGTGTCCGCCACTTTAAACACATGTCTGCAACAGCGAAAAATATAGTAGGTGCAATTATCCGGGATGAGAAATATTTTCTAAAAAATATACTGAAAATTAGCTGCAGGTTTAAGAGACTATTATATAAAAACTGAGACCTGTGGTGAGAAGACATCTGTACAATATCTGGGATTTGGAGAATTTACATTACTGAACAATAATATTATAGAATGTTGAGATAAGAAATTTCTATTCTTTCAGAGACTGGGAGACTGTTTAAACATGACATGGGCCAAACAGTTCATTGAATGACAATCGTGCAATACTGAAAGCTAGATCTTAGACAGGTTGAGTACCAACTTGTTCTCATGATCATGTCTCAAACATGGACCTTGGAATACACCCAAGAAAATGCCTATGTTACTTAAAGGTCACATGCAACGAAAACACAACTTTGCAGATTCTGATACCTTCGGTATGGACAGAGCTAAACAAATCATTAAAATGCAAATTCAACTTATAAAGTTGAAAAATAACGTGAATGAAAAAACCGCTAAATCGGAGTTCAAACGTTTCACTAATTTTCCCCAGACTTTTCTGGGGAATAATGGTTTCAACAGCTGGGCTGCGCCATAGCACGCGCAAGTAAATAGGTTCAAGCAGCTTGGAAGCCGGTTGTCGGGTGAATACTCGGTGAAGGCTTTGGTGTGAGCTATTTTTCTAATGTTTTGTTGATATCTCACAGGCGAAGCTTTTATATGTTATGACAGTAAATAAACTGTTTATATAATTTCAATTGTCTATTTCACCACACGCTCTTCTTACCGAAGTCACTTTCTCAGTTCGATACTTAAAAGCAATGTCATTATTTAGCGCTGACACAATTTCTAACTGTGATATAGATATGTCGCTGTCACAGACAAAACTCAATGTCTTGTTTTATTGACACCTGTGTGTCTGCCTGCCTGTCTGCTAATGACAATATTCAATACACAACTGCATCACTGACCACATGCAATTTGAACTTAACACCAATCAGGCTATACACCATAAACAAAACGCATTGATTTATGGCCCGAAGTTCGGTCTCTGTCACATTATGTAATTACACAGACAGGCAGGTGTGATACTTGAACACATGACATGTTATGATGTCTGTTGATTGCAAAATGTTATACACAAAAATGAGCATGTATTTACAAAACCCAACATCTCTACACACACACCATGAGCCAGCCGTGAAGGCTGCATCTGCTAATGAACCAGCCGTTACACTTGAGTGCACACCCACCCGCTTCTGACTGGGTTCGTATCCCGCTGCTTCGCTTCGAGGGAGGTTAACCCAAGTACACAATATTGCACTTTTGATTTGGCGATTATAATGCTTATAATTTTGTTTATTTGTTTTTTCATAATCAGCAATGCATATTATATGTCATGAAGAAGTGATAATTGTGTTTTAATTATGTTTGATTTTTGGTTGCATGTGACCTTTAACACATTCAAGACACTGGTAGTGTTTAGGAAAGCAGGACTGTATATGGGAGATAACTCTGGATGTCTTACCACACTGGAGCGTCACATTTATCTGCATGGCTCGTTTCCTCACATATTTCACATCATCTGATGGTCGGTCTGTCCAGATGGGTGATATGTAACCAAAGTTCTCCCTGCACAAACAAATCATGTCTAGAGACACCAGCAAGATCATTTTAGCATCTGTATTTTCTTCAAAATCGTGATTGCTTAAAATGTTTATATTTTTATATTCCGCAGTATTTTAACATGGCAGTCGAGGCAATAGAGGAAAATTGTACATTGTAGCCACGCGCTTTTACAGTAGAATAATGAACACGGATATAACGAACTGACGGCTATATCGAACTGTTTTAAAAGTCCCGAATAAACATTATAGTATCATATAAAAAAGTGAATAGCGAACTACGGATATAACAAACTAATTTCAGTGGTCCCTTGGAGTTCGTTATAAAGGTATTTTACTGTATTGAAATACCACTAATCTGTAAAACAAGCTCAGTCCATATAAGACGAGTATATGGATGGCAACTTCTTGTTTATTGTATATCACAACGTTTCTGGGCTACTTCTTGCCCCTTCTTCAGGTGATTTAAGAGTCAAGCCAGACGTAGAAAACAAACTATATATACCAGATTTACAGGAAGCCAGATGTGTACATGTATATAAAATCAATCAATCAGCCCTTTGTGATTGATTGTATATACATGTACATATCTGGCTTCCTGTAAATCTGGTATATATAGTAGGGGTGGGTATTGCAGAGAATTTTCATATTGCGATACATTGCGTGCTGAAAAGCATGTATTGCGATATGTATTGCAATATACTAGTATTGCATGAAGTATTTTTAAACAAAAACTACTTATAATCGAAGGGTTACTTCTTGATTTATAGAGGAAAAACAACAAAATCACTAGGCTTTTGTTAATAAGTTTTCCTAATGCCAAGTCAAAATACCTGTTTTCGATCAGCAAAATACCTGTTATCGATCAATATGTATCGTTTTCATGTTTCATGTTTGAACGGTTATATTGTGCAGCCCTAATATATAGTTTGTTTTCGACATCTGTCTTAAATCACCTGAAGAAGGTTCAAGAAGTAGCCCAGAATCGTTGTGACATACAATAAACAAGAAGTTGCCATCCATTTAATCGTCTTATATATTCACCAACTTCTAAATGCCTCTCAAGAATCTAAGATAAATCCTGGCACCTTCAATTAACATAACTGATAATATATTGGCTGATCAGTGATCAGAAAATAATCAAATATCCTAACATCACAGACTTTTTAAGCTGAAAAACCCTCAACCAATAAATACTCACCAAAACTTGGTGACTCCCTGTTGAACTGAAATATAAAGATAGTAACAATTATTTTCAAAATCCTATTACTTTCTCATTTAGCCAACAATCCCAGTATCTTCAGATGAAATATTTGAAATACTTCTGTGGGCAATCAAACTTGGGTCTTCGACATGACAAGCCAACACTTGAACCACTAGGCTACCCCAGTGTCCCTCACACGGTGGAGGTACGATGACACACACAGCAACCACTGTGGCTGTACTTAGAGGTACATGATCATACAACAATTTCAATGCTATGTTATATTACCTTTGAAAAACACTGGTTCATAACATATTACTAAATCCAGCATTGCTTTATCTTGATGGACAGGTGACAAGTTTAAATGAAATGATCAAATATACAACTGATTCCAGTTTTTGAAACAAGTGTTATGCCACTGAGCTCTGGCAATGTCCCCTGCCGCTAAAGAATGGAATATCTATATTTACTTTTATTTTGGGGAGGACATACAAGATGCCTGAAATGGTGTCTGCATAATCACCTAATGTAGGCTGTCGACATAATTGAAAACATTGGGTGCAATGTTTTATGAGATATCGCATTTAAATAAGTTTGAAAAGTGGTCAAAGTGTGTGGTGAACTTGGAGATAAGGTGAAGGTCACCCAAATTAATTGGCGTCTGCATAATACCCCAATGTAGGCTGTCACCAAATTTGAAGACATTTGGTACAACAGTCCATGAGATATCACGCTAACAACAGTTTGAAAAGTGTTCAAAGTGTCATGGTGACCTTGAAAATAAGGTCAAGGTCACCCAAATCGACTGGTGTCTGGGTAATGCCCCAATGTAGGCTGTCACCAAATTTGAAGACATTGGGTACTACAGTTCAAGAGATATCAGCTAACAAGAGTTTGAAAAATGGTCAATGTCGTGGTGACCTTGAAAATAAGATCAACAGGGCTACAGATAAAAGGCACAGGAGTAATGTACGCCTCAAAATGAATTAAGTCTGACATCATATAAGATTTCAAGCGTATGGGTACACGCACATAAATATCTTTGTATCGATCTAACATTTAATTTCCGGCAGATTATGTTGCAAATGGAAATATATTTAGGATAAATGCTTGTCAAGTTTCTTTTCGCGAAACACGATTTGACACATGAGGAAACCCGAAAGTAGGAATCACTTGCGATATCGCCACTATTTTTCGATTGGCTAAAACTACACTGTTGCTATTTATATCCAGTCGGACCTGACATTTTCGCTTCACACGGTTCCTCAGTTATTTCTCGCGCGACTTCAAATACAAATACATGGTTGGAAATAGTGATCGATGAATCGTCCAGACAAACCACATCACCAACTCGCTCACACAAAACATGTCAGTACTCCTTCAAATTCTCAGTACACCTCCACTTGCAATATGATGTGTAAGTACACTCCACACCCCAAAAGTTATCTGGAGCCCTGGATCAAGGTCATCCAAATTGACTGGTGTCTGTCTAATCCCCAATGTAGGCTGTCACCAAATTTGAAGACATTGGGTACTACTGTTCATGAGATATCGCTACTACCAAGAGTTTGAAAAGTGGTCAGTGTCAAGGTGACCTTGAAAATAAGGTCAAGGTCACCCAAATCGACTGGTGTCTGCGTAATCCCCCAATGTAGGCTGTCACCAAATTTGAAGACATTGGGTACAACAGTTCATGAGATATCGCGCTAACAAGAGTTTGAAAAGTGGTCAAAGTGTCGTGGTGACCTTGAAAAATAAGGTCAAGGTCACCCAAATCGACTGGTGTCTGCGTAATCCCCCAATGTAGGCTGTCACCAAATTTGAAGACATTGGGTACTACAGTTCATGAGATACCACGTTAACAACAATCGAACGGACGGACGGACGCTGCTGATAACATAGTCCCCGGTTTCGCGTTGCAGCAGGGGACAAAAAGGGAAACTATTATTGCCAGGTTCCCTTATGTAATATGTCTAATTACAGATGATATAACACACGTAACATATTGTGCTGTATGACATTACATGAATCAATATTGCAAAAAATAGCAATACAAATGCCAAAACAGCCAATGTTAGCTGTAATGATAAATTTAGCATGGATAGAAGACTTGTATTGATTGTTAGGCCATAGTACAATTCATGAACATTTGACAAGCCATTCTCCTGTAGGGTGCTGAGGGGTGAGTTGTGTACCTACCGATGCCCACATCCTTCCAGTATTGGGACATGTGCTCCCCCATAGCCTTCATGAGATGCCGGAACTCCTTGGAATCAGCAAAGTCCTGCTTGTTGTGAGTGGGCTCTAGCACCAGGTACGGGACATCAACAATACCTACAAGTACAGAGTGAACCAAGACCTGTCAATCACTGCATCACAGAAAACTCTCAGACAACACTTTCCCAAACTGAAATTGGTGACATTTACACAGTATGTTCGAATTAGGACATTTTCACCTCCTCGAAAGGTTCTGACATTAATGGGGCGAGTTGTTCAGGGATTATCAGGGCAACCTGGCAATAGTCAGGGATTATCAGGGTCTAAAAGATTCTGCCCTGAGCAGGCAAAAGGGGAAAGTTGTGTCTGAGTTCAAAATTGGGATTGAAGTTTTTGTTCCCTTATGTAAGAGGTATTGTTATGTTGACAAAGAGTGAGTGAGTGAGTTTAGATTTACGCTGCACTGAGCAATATACCAGCCATATGGCTGCAATCTGTAAATAATCAAGCCAAGACCAGACAGTCCAGTGATCAACAGCATGAGCATCGATCTTCGCAATTGGGATACGATGACATGAGTCAACCAAGCCAGCGAGCCTGACCACCCGATCTCGTTAGTCGTCTTTAACGACAAGCATGGGTTACTGAAGATCAATTCTAACCCGGATCTTCATGGGTATGTTATCAAAGACTGCAAAATGTAAAATGTAGCATTCAAACCTCTTCAATTCTATTGATAATGGTATCAGTGACATATGTCACCTTTACAAAGTGAATTGCTAGTTATGTTATTGCAATTGGGCAGACTCTGTGAGGGTCAGCATCATAGCAGGTACCGATAAAGGTGTTTTCAATCTGAAGACAGTAGATTAAGAGAACAAGAAATAGTAACAATTTTCTTTACGACCCTTCAACTTCTATTTCTTGAAACTAGAATTTTGGTCAGTTGTTTTTTGTATTATACTAGTGGTCATTGAGTTGAAGGGACTGTCTGCGTCCAGACCTGCAACCTTGGGTCTTTGGAACACTTTGAAATGAAAACATTGTTTGGTGAAAAGCATTACTTACCTACAACTCCACTGCAATTCCTGCAATAATAAAACAGAAAAACTAGTAACATTTCTTAGATTCATGTCAAGTGTTAATTTGTGTGCCATTCTTAAACAATTCTGGCAACCTTTACAATCTATTCCCACGAACTTGAGCCTTAGACAATCCAGCAATAAATTCTGAGGTATGAAGCAGCTAAGTCTTCAACTGTTTCTGTAGTAAAGTGAGATCAACTTACACTCCTCCCTCCGCCTGTGGTCCAACCTTTTCATACATTTTGATCAATCTGCTACAGTTGTAGACAAACACACCATCATGGACCCGGTTCTCCAAGTTCATTCCAAAAATAAAGTTCAATGTTTTGGGGTCTTTTAGAGCTCTGAAACAGACAGGTTAAAAAGTGAGATATCATTCACATGATAAGTACAATAATCAATATTTCACATGAGTGAGTGAGTGAGTGAGTGAGGTTAGTTTTACGCCGCACTCAGCAATATTCCAGTTATATGGCGGCAGTCTGTAAATAATTGAGTCAGGGCCAGACAATCCAGAGATCAACAGCATGAACATCGATCTACACAATTGGGATACAATGGCATATGTCAACCTAGTCAGCGAGCCTGACCATCCGATCCTGTTAGTCGCCTCCTACGATATTTCACATGAACTTATTTCATTTTCCATGTTAATTTTCTATTTCGCCATTTCAAGAAATGTCATGTTTTTATGTGTGACAGTTTCTCTGAAGTAAGTGAGAAGTTTTAAGGCTGTTTTTAGCAATATTCCAGCAATATCACGTCTGGTGACACCCGAAATGGGCGTAACACATTGTACCCATGAAGGGAGTCGAACACAGGCCTTCTGTGTGACAAACAAACACTATAACCAATTAGCTTAGCCACCACTTAAGTTTGTCAGAAAATCTTCCAATAACAATGCACATCATTCTAGGCTTACGAGAGTCCTGGTCAATGAAATGGTATTGAATAGTATTTTACAAAAGTATGAGATTCTCAGAACAATTTTTCCTTAGAAGATGGGCTAAATAAAACATCAGCAAAGGAGTGAGTGAGTATGGTTTTACGCCGCTTTTAGCAATATTCCAGCAATATCACGGCTGGGGACACCAGAAATGGGCTTCACACATTGTACCCATGTGGGGAATCGAACCGGGTCTTCAGCGTGACGAGCGAACGCTTTGACCATTAGGCTACCCCACCGCCCCCATCAGCAAAGGAAAAGATACTCCTTTCATATCAGTAGCCAGTGACACATATCACAAATCAATCTTTATTTACAGTACTGAAAAGATAGTACATTTTTACATACAGTATTGAGTAGCAAAGGGTGCAATAGGTGCAGTGAAATGGGGTTTAACGTTGCACTTAAGAATATTTCGCTCATATGACGACGTGCAAGCATGTGTATTTGTGGCTGCTTGTACTAACCCAGACTTAAGCTGGATTTATAGTACTAGCTGACTGAGATACCATTCTGCAGTTAAGCATTTATACCCTACTCAGACACATTATACCGACTCCGAGCTGACAAGTCAATGTTGTACTCATTAATGCCATTAGGGACCAACAAGTACAATATTTTAACGTCTTTTGGTATGACGCGGTCGGGATTCAAACCCGCAACCTTCCGCTCTACAGGGGGACATTCTAACAACTACACCACAGAGCAAAGGGTGCAACAGAAATAGATGTATCATCAATAATATCACATCTGTAATGCAGATGATCTGATATTCATTGCATGGTTCAAACAGAAATACAGTGACACATATTTTGGAACATAACAAGACACAAGGGAGTCTTACTTGCTCTTTCTGTCGGCTATCTGACGTTTAATCTGTGCTTCTCTTCTGCATTCTGCTGCAAAGGTTTGAGCCTTACGTAGGTCCGCCTGTGAGATTACAAATTAGCATTTATCAACCAAATTAATTAAAAGAACAATGTAAAAATATCCAAAATTCAAATTGTAATAGGATAAATATCTAAAAATATCTTAATTATTACTTTGTTAAACTGTTAATGCTTTAGTTAAATAAGTTAGTGAGTGAGCTTAGTTTTACACTACTTTTAGCAACATTCCAATATATGGCAGCAGTCTGTACATAATCGAGTCTGGACCAGGCAATCCAGTGATCAACAGCATGAACATTGATCTACGCAATTGGGATATGATGACAAGTAAAAACGAGAACATATACACACCCTTTGATCCCTTGATATTGAGGAACCTACTTTGTTTTCTAAATTTCTGAAAATAAGACAGAAAATACATGCATTACATCAGCTACAAAATTGAAGTGACGAACATAATGTTTCGACGAATATTCTTACTAATTCATTATTCACCTGAGTGAGTTTGGTTTTACACCATTTTTAGCAATATTCCTGCAATATCACTGCGGGGGACACCAGAAATGAGCTTCACACATTGTGCCCATGTGGGGAATTGAGCCCTAGTCTTCAGCGTAACAAGTGAGTGAGTTTAGTTTTATGCCGCACTCAGCAATATTCCAGCAGTATGGCGGCGGCGGTCTGTAAAGAATAGAGTCTGGACCAGACAATCCTGTGATCAACAGCATGAGCATCAATCTGCGCAATTGGGAACTGATGACATGTGTCAGCCAAGACAGCGAGCCTGACCACCCGATCCCGTTAGTCGCCTCTTACGACAAGCATGGGTTACTGAAGATCAATATTCTAACCCGGACCTTCACGGGTCTCAGCGTGATGAGCATACGCATTAACCAGGTTAACCACAAGACTACCCGACCGCCCCCCATTATTCACCTGAAAATACCAAACTGTTGTTTCTCATAACACGGCAGTTAACCTAATTAAACATTTCCCACTTCAGACACAAAATAATTGATTATTTACTGCAGATTTGGGTCTCAATATTAGCCTTTCAACTGGTCTTGAAACTCACCTGAATCTTTAGGAATATATTTGGAACAAAACTGTAACCATGGTAATATAAGTCATAGTAAAACCTTACAGCACATGACATGCTACATGTAACAATGAGTCAATGTGACATTACATATACAACTCAAAAGAAGCTAAAAACCATATGACCAATATTTCATGATTCTGGGTTGTCCTTAACTTCTTTTAAGCAACATATATAGCTGCAATGGCAAATTGGGGACTTCAGAATATGCACACTGACTTTGTTCACTCTGACAATAACACAATGCTAGGAACATATCCCTGTGTGGTGTGGAAATCTAGCAAAATATAAATTGCATCATCATCATCATCATCATCATCACAACTCACTTTGATTTGCTTTCAGCTTCCCGAGCTTTGTTTTCTGCGGAAGTTGCTTCATCCATCGCTCGCTTGGCTTCGTGTTCTGATCGTGCTTTGAATCGATTAGAAGAATATTTGTAAAACCTAGGTTTGTATAGACAACACGAGAGTCTCTTAGTCCGCACTTTTTTGCCATTAATATATATCCTCATCCTTGGGTCCACATACAAAATGGCAGTATAGTCTCTGAATGACTTCCTTTCTGGCACGAGACTGGAAACAGACAATGACAAATCGTTCAAGCATGAATATCTACATTAAAAATTAATTACCAAAACAAAATCTAAGCCAACAATATATCTGATTTCTTAAGATTTTGTATCACAATCAGTGTCAAACATTAGCATTAACACAACCCATTTCCATATTCTGAGTATATCATTCAAAGGGAGACAACACATACAAAACCTAAAATTACCTCCCCTTGGTAAATCATTCAACCAGGAGATATTGACTGCAATATCTGCAATGTGATTGTTATCTAAAGTAAAATAACAGCATTCCAGAGTAAAGACAATCAATCAGCAGACAAACAGAAAATGTTGTTGATTGCAAGAGAGTCACGAATTCATGTACTGAAACCTCTCTGAAATATAAACTCTTGGACCTGAGAGAGAGAGAGAGAGAGAGAGAGAGATTTGTGTCAAAAAAAATATTGTCAGCACTTCAAACTGTCCGTTCTTTGATTGGAATTGCCAAACAATTGTTTTTACCTCACATCATACAGAGAGAAATAGAGAGGGAGAGAGAGAGACAGAGAAACATAATCAGTTTAAAACAACTCTAAATGTACAGGGCATCTTCATGCTGTGAGGATGTCCACTTTCCATATATTGTCCATACTTTTCTCAAACTGTCACATCTCACAGTTTAGTCATCTCATAATACAGGTTTTACATTCTGACTTCATCCAAAGTGGCTTGTCGTCATCTGAAACAGATCATTGAAACTTACTCTGCATCTGGGTCAAAGTCTGACTCTGGATTAGCAAGTAGAATGTCCTCAGGGTCTGAATTAATGTCCAGCTCTGGATCTCCACTGTCCAGCAGCTTAAGATTGTACACAACCACAAGTGTCCCAGAGTTACCCTCAATTTTGTCAAACTGAGCAAAAAACTCCTCTTCTGACCGAAATGGTGAATACTTGTATATGAGCCCCATCTCCACTTCATGCTGAAATCATCAATAATCACTGTCAACGCTGTTTCACATTTAGTAATCTTATAACATCACGGCAGTCTGATAATTAAAATCTGGATCAGGCAAACCAATTAAGGACAGAAGAAAACAATGAAAGAACTTCTACGTAAGTGCATTACTACAATAATATTGACTTATGCTCTTAACACATTAATCATTTTAGTGCAGTAGTCCTTTTAATGACATAACCCTAACAATTTGCAATTTTTTATTAATCCTTATGACAGTTTCATTATGCAGTATAATAATAATTATTAATATAGGATATTTATATTAATATAGGATTTATTTCCCTTGATATTGGATGCCAATCTCAACGGCACATCGAATTATCAAACTCAACTCCCTGGGGAGTATACAACTCTTGCAGCCACTAGGCGCACCGAGTTATTGTGGCTTTCTCATCCTAACGAGGTACCCATTCACAGCTGGGTGGACTGGGACACATAGTCACAATACTTTGTCCAAGTTTACTGCACGTTGCTGTATCCTCAACTAGGTGTTTGCATGTATTCATGTGGCCACCATCTGGTCATATACCAACGGATTTGTGAGTTCTTTAAAGTGCACAGGGCTGTGTACTGTACACTAGGGGTTGTGACAACACGGAGAGTCTGCACACAAAGTTGACTCCAAGTTTTTACACCCGGTCACAGGTGGGCTCCATTCCGACACCTCAAATTCACTGGATCACTAGCCTGGCGCCTTAGCCAGCTCTCCCAACGCGCCCCCGTCAACGCAAAGATGCATGTACACACACTCATGTACAGATGATTGGCCAATCAGATAGGTACTAATTTTTCCACAACTAGTAGTGAAGTAAAATGGGATTTAAAATCATTTTCAAGAATATTATTTCAAGATATAAGTGATGTGCATGATTGTGTGTGCCTAGCTACTTGTACCAGTGCCATTAACTCCTTAATGTATAGAGCCCTACTATGTCCTGGTAAGTGGAGGACCCACAGGAACACCGTTCCTTGTGTCAAACTCACCTTCTCTGCAGCCCTAGCACCTTTTGTCAGTGGTCGTCTTGTTGAGGCCTCGAATGCTGGTAGAGGAACAATCACCTGTAGGATACCATTAGGAACTTAGGACTCCACTGTCACACATAATATATGACAAAATCTCTGAAGAAAACAGAAGCTGGTGTGTTTCTACTTTGTGTTTAACTTCTGCCCGGATGTATTGATATTTGCAAACTTGTCAAGAATTGTGACATTTTGTGTGTGCTCTTGTGTTAGATTTGTAAAATAAAGAATTCATTACTTTTTCGTTTATTCAACACATGTATATTGTTTTCATTTTGCATCATTCATATATATTCCTTCAGTACCAGGCAAATGTTCCTTAATGCTGCATCAAGAATATATATAATTCCTCTTGTATCAAGCATTTGTCTTTATCAAGCATCATGCATACAGCATTCCTCTCTACACCAAGCACAGAACTTGCTATCACACTGAGACACCCAAATCCCCCTGGAAGCACAGCATTCTTTATTGCATCAAGCATACAATATTCATTGCTTCAAGCATTTATCTGACATCAACCCTTCAAGCATACAATGCTCATTTCTGTATAGTATCAAGCACACAGCTTTCCTATTGCATCAAGAACAAGATATTCCGTGTTCCATCTCTGTATTCCATTGCATCAGATGTAAAATATCTTTGTTGCATCATGTACAGTATTCTACTGCATCAAGCATACAATATTCTGTCTCAAGCAGTCTTTACTATAGCATCAAGCATACAATATTTTGTCTCAAGTAGTCTTTACTATTGCATCATGTACAGTATTCTACTGCATCAAGCATACAATATTCTGTCTCAGTCTTTACTATTGCATCAAGCATACAATATTCTGTCGGACTTAACTATTGCATCAAGCATACAATTCCTTGTTTCAAGCAGTCTTTATTACTGCATCAAGCATACAATATTGCTTGTTTAAAGCTGTCTTCACTGTTGCATCAAGCATACCATATTTCTTGTTTCAAGCAGTCTTTACTACTGCATCAAGCATACAATATTCCTTGTTTCAAGCAGTATTTACTACTGCATCAAGCATACAATATTCCTTGTTTCAAGCAGTATTTACTACTGCATCAAGCATACAATATTCCTTGTTTCAAGCAGTATTTACTACTGCATCAAGCATACAATATTCCTTGTTTCAAGCAGTCTTTACTACTACATCAAGCATACAATATTCCTTGTTTCAAGCAGTATTTACTACTACATCAAGCATACAATATTCCTTGTGTATTCCTTGTTTCAAGCAGTATTTACTACTGCATCACCAAGCATGCAATATTCCTTGTTTCAAGCAGTATTTACTACTACATCAAGCATACAATATTCCTTGTGTCAAGCAGTCTTTACTACATCAAGCATACAATATTCCTTGTTTCAAGCAGTATTTACTACATCAAGCATACAATATTCCTTGTTTCAAGCAGTCTTTACTACTACATCAAGCATACAATATTCCTTGTTTCAAGCAGTATTTACTACTGCATCAAGCATACAATATTCCTTGTTTCAAGCAGTCTTTACTACTACATCAAGCATACAATATTCCTTGTTTCAAGCAGTATTTACTACTGCATCAAGCATACAATATTCCTTGTTTCAAGCAGTCTTTACTACTACATCAAGCATACAATATTCCTTGTTTCAAGCAGTATTTACTACTGCATCAAGCATACAATATTCCTTGTCTCAAGCTGCCTTCACTACTGCATCAAGCATACAATATTCTGTCTCAAGCAGTATTTACTATTGCATCAAGCATACAATATTCTGTCTCAAGCAGTATTTACTATTGCATCAAGCATACAATATTCCTTGTTTCAAGCTGCCTTTACTATTGCATCAAGCATACAGACCTCCCTATGGCATCAAGCACTCCATATTACATGGTGAATCATGTGCATAGATATGTTTTCCTCAAGTGCTTCAAGCACCTTTTCAGATGCACATATACTCATTTCATGTATGACCAAAACAATAATGTGATTACTTCTCCTAGGTACGTCATACATTGTGCATACTTAATCCCCTATTCTCAATGAGTGCCTTGCAACAATGGCTGTTTCTTATGAATGTGAAATATTTCTCTGTGTAAACTAATTAAAGTCTATTTCACACTGCCACAAACTATTTTGTGTATTAGCATTACATTTGGGCCCATGTGTCAAAAATGATCATTAACAATATTCCTGATGGATACTAGTTTTGGATATCTCCAAAATGTTGTGAATGCATGCATGCATTGCATTGTGTTGTTATTCAAACATGCCTAATTCTGACTTGAGTCAAGAAATGTCCTCCACTACTGTATCATGCCATTGTCTCTATGAATGTGGTTGCAATCATATTGTCCATGAATGCTATTTCCATACACAGTAGGATTACTGGTTGTTCATTTATGTAACCAGAGACCATATTTTCCATGAAGTACTTCAGAATCTGTTTCACGGTTTACCATTCAGCATTTCTCTATGTAGTGAGAGTATTCTCAATTTCATCTATGTGTCTTCATGGGGGTTAATGAACATTGTTTAATCTTAGACAGCATTGATAAAGTGATACCACTGAAATATGTAAATAATGAATAGTGGGCGAGAGAACGAACAGATGGGTGTTGAGTGAGAGAGTGAATTTAGTTTTACACCGCTTTTAGCAATATTCCAACAATATCATGGCGGGGGACACCAGAAATGGGCTTCACACATTGTACCCATGTGGGGAATCGAACCCGGGTCTTCGGTGTGACAAGCGAACGCTTTAACCATTAGGCTACCCCACCGCCCCAGATGGGTGTTGACTCAAACCACATGAATAGTAAGTCGTGCATTCTTCATGTTGGTGATTTATCATTCTTCATAAAAATATAACTTGAATCTTTTTGAATATGCTGTTGAATTACTTAGTGTCATCACTGATTTTCAGTTGTTCATTCCTAATATTTTCTGATTTCTGAGACTGATCAATCTCTGGTGTTGATGTTTATACATTAGAAATAATATTCATCAAGATTATTCATCATTTTCTGTTGATGATTTCATTATTTTCAATTTTCCTCATGAAGTATTATCGTTTCTCTGTCCTCCCCATCCGACAATTAAACTCCTTTCATAGAGATGCATCATTCTTCATTCTGTTGACAGATCTTATTGTCATCTTGCTGATCGACTGTTCTGCGGTGATAAATTTAGACTTTCTCGGTTGATTTGTTTTTTTCTCTTTGCAGACTGATTTATCATTGTTTCCCGTTCAACAGGTTGATCATTACCTCATCAATGTGTTCTTCCTCGTGGAAAGTTCTTGACAGAAACAGACAAGACATTGTCATTCCCTTCTTCGTGAACAAAATCAGATCATTACCGATTCTCATTGAGCCTCTGAAACAAAGAGGTAACCAAAATATGTCACTAAATGTACCAAATCAACAATTAAAAGATTTTCCTACCACAAATAGATACAGACAAAATTATCTTGTTTGTTGTTTAATGCCAAACTCAGCAATATTCCAGCTCTATCACAGTTGTCTGTAAATAATGTCTGGACCACACAATCCAGTGATTGCAATCATGAACATCCAACTATGCAATTTGGGTTTGAAACACGCATCAAACATGTCACCGAATATGATTCCTGACACATTCAGAGAATAATATGTAACAGAAGTTACAAAATATTTCCTGAATTTTCTTGTGATTATGTAGATGAATCTTGATGAATCATCGAATCTTGTCATCTGGTTCTGAAGGTGTTGACAGATGTTAGCAAAAACACAATACATGGAAGCAATCATCTTGCAGACACAATACTTACGATTTCAGACCATTGCCATACATTCCAATTTGGTTCAGATCAATGGACTTCTTGGCAGATTTACCAAAGGTGACAATATCAGCTGTCTCATCTGTAACAAGACATAATTACTTGAGGCTTCGGTGATCAGTAGACTAACGTTGTGTACAGGAATATTTCACTCAGACTGTGATGTGCATGCACCAATGTCTACTTGTATAGGTTAGGACTAGAGCCAGTTTCGTATCGCAGGCCAACATTGATACCATAGTCAAGTTTAATATTGATATATATTTTGTTTATTCGTTTTGGTTGTTGTTTAGGCCCTTCTCAGCAATATTCCAGCTATGTGACAGTCTGAACCATAAAATCCAGTAACTCCAATCATGAGCAGCCATCTACGCAACTGGGATCTACGCAACAAGTCAGGGAGCCTGACAAACTGATCCTGTTACTCACCTCTTATGACAAGCATGGTTGCTATGGACCAACCTGTATCTAAGTTCTAACCCAGAACTTCACAGGTCTTTAACATTAATAACACAGGTCTTTAACATCAACAATAATAGACACCACTACTCAAGTCCTTTATCCCTTAATGCCGGAGAGAGAAACAATAATCTCTGAATGGCTTTTGGTATGATGCCACCATATTTGAACCATGAACCTTCCACTCTGGGGGCACTAGTGAGTGAGTTTAGTTTTACGCCGCACACAGTAATATTCCAGCTATATGGCAGCGGCCTGTAAATAATCGAGTCTCAACCAGAGAATCCAGTGATCAACAGCATGAGCATCCATCTGCGTGATGACATGTGTCAACCAAGTCAGCGAGCCTGACCACCCGATCCCGTTAGTCGCCTCTTAAGACAAGCATGGGTTACTGAAGACCAATATTCTAACCCGGACCTTCACGGGTCCTGGGGGGCACTAGGCCATAGGGCTGAATATTGTATATGGCACACACAATAGCGGTTGTGATATTGCTAAAGGCAATCTAAAGTCCACACTCACTAGTTTGTGATGAAATGATTATGGGACACTAATTAATTGGTCCAAGGTCTCATTATTAGGCATTTATCAAGCATCATATGTGACAATTGCAGGCAAACTTGAGGGCAAAACATCGACTCAACTTTTTGCAGTGTTTAGATATTCTTACCTTTAACAGTGTTTTAAAATTGCATGAAGGACAATGTCACATCATGCAAAGTAATGTGACCTTGTATCATACATACAAAGCAAAAAAACATTAACATTTACGATAACGTGAAATTAAATGTCTCATTCCAATTTGGAAATTTTACCAACATTTGATGCAAAATATCAACCTGTGAGAACTTGATGATCATTAGACACAGGTGAGGTGAGATTGGATTTAACGTCGTGCTTGAGAATATTTCGCTCATATGACGACATGCATGCGCGTGTGTGTGTGTATGTGCGGCTGCTTGTACTAGCCCAGACTTAAGCTGGCTTTATAGTGCTAGCCCACTGAGATACCATGCCGCAGTGGAGCATGGATACCCCACTCAGACACATTATACTGACTCCGAGCCGACCAGTCCTTGTACCCATTAATGCCGAGCGCCAGGCAGGGACCAACAAGTACCATATTTTAACTTCTTTTGGTATGACGCGGTCGGGGATCGCACCCACGACCTGACGCTCTAACCACTACACCACAGAGGCGGTCTCATTAGACACAGAGTCTGAAGAGAAAACAATGAATGGTATGGGCTTTGAATTAATTGGGTGGAGCCTGCTGAGGGTGGACTGTCATACTGCTGAATGTCTTAGTGGTTTCCAGCTCAGGAGTCATACATACTTGGGTCCATGCCTTCTCCGTCGTCAAGGAAACACATCATAAAGCCTCCTCGCAGCTCCTTGTCCCTGACTTGAAATCAAATGCACACACTTAAATAAATACTGTAAAACTAAGCATCAATGATTGGGAAAGGCAGGGGCCATTTTGCACATTAGAATAAAAGAAGGCCCAATAAAATTTTGAAGTTTACTATTGATACTATGGCCCATTCCAAATTCAGAAAATGGCTAATAATCCTGAAAATGATCCATTGTCAATGTTCTCTACCCCAATCCCTGAAACATACAAAAATATGTACTCTATCCATGAATTATTCTTAGCCGATATATTTCTGATTATTATTGTTACCATTTCAAATCAGCTGCATCATTCTCAGTAATTATAAAGCAATGGAATTGTCTGTTTGTACCACCCCAACCAATAGAGTGACTGACTTGCCAAAATCTTTCTACATATACTCAAAGAAACTGGTTCTCCATCAACAACTAATAATATGGCAAATCATTTTTCATAACTTTACAGTAGGCTTAATAACAGTGTTCAACAATCAACTTATAAAGTCTTGTTTATTAGTCTGCTGATGACAACTGTTGCATGATTACATACCTGTATAGATATTGATTTTTGTTGCATCCGCATCTCTGAAATATATACAGCACAGTTGAATACAAGTACACAATGACTCATATTCAGAAATTTTAAATTGTATTGCAACAATTGTAGACACAGTAGAGAAGCAAAATGATGACTACAGTCCGTTTGATTTCATTTGAGACTGATGAATTGCTCACTAACAAACAATAACAACTTTTTTATTTGGGTGTCCAAAATTATGAGACAAATCATCAGAGTTGGTCTGTCGATTTCATGTGACTGCGCAAAATTTGGTTTTGTTGCATTTATTAGACTTTGTGTTATTGAGCAATTTATCGGTCTCAAATGAAATCAAATGGACTGTAAGCGAGTAAGCCTTTGAAAACTCTGGGTATGAGCATATTGGAAATTTTGCTAACTATGAATAGACTCAATTACCCAGCTATCTCTTTATTGATTTTACATTTTATGCCACACAAATGTACCTCAGGTTTAAAGATCATGATTTAATGTAGGAGAAATAACAACAAACATAACCAGCTGAGCACCTACCTGGCATTATCCAGCAATTCTGCCAATGCTCCAAACAAGAACTCATGGGTTGTTCTGAAAATGATTTAAATTCATCCACATCATGTGTGAACTGGACTGTCGAAATATTTAGGCTGGACAAAAAGGCTGACAAGCAGTGATCTCATTTGTGCAAAACATGTGTCATCAAGGAAATAATATTCTGGAAATAAAGATTTCAGGGTTTGGTGAGACAGATGCAAAAATTTTGCAATGTGAGAGAGATGACTGATGATACTATACTTTCTGAACAATTTAGATGTATTCAAACAGAAGAGATGAAATCATAAGAAGATGCATTGCAGGAGATGATGACAACAGTGAAAGCCTTAATGTTGCCATTTATCATTAGCTGCACAATAACATCTGTGATAACCTGAACGTTTCAGCTTGATATCAATGGCTTTTGAAGCGATTATTGTTTTCTGGTGTCATATTTCAAATATAAAAAAAAATTCTCATGAAAAATCTATGGTTCAATAGCTAAAGCTCTGAACATATATAACTCATATAGTGTTAAATGCAATAATAATACTTCAACATGATGTTGTGTCATTTTATGGAAGCATTTTCTGTATTGTTTACAATACTACTTAGCCATGTTGCATAATCATTGTGGTGCATATTCAATATGAAAATAAACAAAAATGGCATAATTATTTCATGTTAAAACTTCTTCTTAGTTCCAAATCTACCACAAACTACACAGTACACCTAATTCCAATCAAGCATTCTGCTCTTGAATGAGCGAGATTGTTGACAGGATAACAATAATACATTTTCAACAGTTTAAATAGGTACTCATGTCATTCCTTGCATGAGGATATTTCTGCTAAATGCACATTGTCAAATATCATTTCACTATCAACACCGAAATGCAACCTCTCCTGAACAATATCTATAACTAGCAACACATCACCTTGCCGGTGGTGTACAAATATATTTGTAACGTTGTCATACTTCGAGCATGATCTTTTGACATTTATAACAGATACGTACGAATTAGTATGCAGATAATCAAAGCTCAATTGAGCTCTGTTCAGCGTTGTGTACGCCATTTCCCAAAGATTCAGCGTGAAGATATGATGTAGATAGCCGTATTCAACCGAACAAACTCTCGTCGGTGTTTCGGGAGTGGTTCTCCGTGCCGACCCAGGAAGATCACTTGAATATGCTTGTCATTTCTGCAGTTGTCGATTTGCTGAATAAATTAAAACAATCTCAGATGAGCGTACATATCCAATTTAATATTCGTTTCCACATGTTTGACAGGAACATTCGCTGTCTTTCCCTCGCTCCAAACTACTTCCTGTCTATGACCGAGGAGTGAATTTTGAATCAATGCGCATCTATTGTAATTTTGTTTGGGGTAATAACACGCTTGTCCGTATTGAAGAAGGGATTGGACATATGTGTGTTTGTGTCATGATATTGTATGCATATTTTATTTACACACTGCCCGCTTATGCATGCTGAAAACCACAAATGTAATAGTTTCGAAAGCATTTGATGGAACATGTCAAAAGTTGAATTGTAATGCGGAAAGAATTTTAACTTACCAAGTTGTAAATCACTGTTAGAATACTATAACACACATCCTTTAAAGTGTTACAGTTGTAAATCAGTTACACCGTTTATGATAAATTATTGAACATTTTTCTTGTTGTTTAGAGGATTTCCAGTGATAAAATTGAATCTCTCATAACCGTATCCACCAGACGCGGAGTACGAATTTGGAGTTGGTGACAATCGACAAATGGCTGCAGCCACGGTCGGTCGCGTCAGTGAAGTTTCGTCCTCAGAGTCCAGCGATGGGGACGAAACAAGCCGATTACGAGAGGCGGCTGTTCTTGATTGTCACCACTCTTCTTCAGCATCGAGTATGTATCATGCCAGTATTTTTCTGTTTTAAAGTGCATCCATGGTGATACTGGGAACTACATTTTTGAGTCGGATGTGCACTGTCTGGAAATGATGTCACTGTTAACGCCGAAACAAGTGCCCGCTGACCACATGGCAGTGCTGTGTATGTTTAGTGGCGGACGATCCTTTGTTTAATGGCAACCGATGCAGGAGACAGAATCTCGTTGTGGAATATGTGTATAAAATATTGTTGGACCATGGATGCGAACTTTATCAAACCTCCAATTTGGTTGCATGTTGTTTAATATACCCATGCAATTATATTTGAGGACATTGATTGAAAATATGGTAAATAGTGACCTTATTGGTTAAAGGAAAATATTTATATGTGTTTAAACTGTCTTGCTCTGGTGATTTTTCAAATCACCCAGGCTGTCACATACTAGGTCTTTATTTTAGTTGTGTTACCTAATTAATAGCATAGTACATGTATTTGTAACCAGAGACTACATATACCGATATGTATGGTCTTTGGTGTAAAGTACACTCGTCAAGAAAATGTCAAGTTAGAATTAAGGAATTGACGTGAATGAAAGAATTATATTCTTGCTTCAGCTGTGAATGGGAACCTCGTAAGGATGGGAAAGCCGCAATAACAACTTGATGCGCACAGTGGCTGCAAGAGTTGTATGATCCCGCAGGGAGTTGAGATGGATAATACGATGTGCCTTTGAGATTGACATCCAATGACCGAGGGAAAACAACAACTTGAGCATGTACTAGTTGCGTGGATATGTGGGCTATATAAATATCCTATATATAATTATTACTTGCCGAATTTTATTGACATTCTCTCTGATTGTTGTTGTTAAATCGTTCAATGTTCAATGTTCAAATCCAAATTTAAGACCGAAAGCCAGTGTATGAAATAAGCCAAATACCCAGCCAGACATCTGGGCTGGTAACCTCAAAAACTTACCAGCCCAGAAGAGATTTAACCAGTCCTTCTTATATACTAAATAGACAGTGCCAGTGGACATGTTATCTGAATATTTTTTTCCACCCGTCCATCGGGCTGGCTAGCTGTAAAATTAGACCGTCCGGCAGAAATCTAGCAGTCTCGGGCGGTCGAACGGGCCTTATTTCATACTCTGCCGAAAGCTTAAGTTTATAAATGCAGTTAAGTGTGAAAATAAGGGTTATTGATAAGAGGACTACAGTTTCATCTATTTGTTCGTAATTATGTATTTTAGACAAACGACAGTTATTAGAGCTTCTAATTCTCCAACCAGACCAAGGCGGTGATCTCAAATATGTTCATTCTTTAGGTTAACATTCACAATTTCAAATAACTGGAAATGGCGTCTGAAAATGAATATAGGCAGTGAAAGGAAAGGACCTTACGTAAATGAAACGTGAGAAAATATTGAATATAACGCAAGATTCGACCTAATGGATGTCGTCGTCATACACGTCATTGTACCTGACAGCATGGATTTGTATCGTTCAGTGGTATATCTGACCAGGCGGAACTATAATAGTCTATACCTACAGACCACCCTTATATACCAGGAATATTGCGAAGTGTGGCATTGGACAGCAATTAAACCATGGGGTGGGTTCGGTGTTGAAAAGGTGGAAGTTTGGACACAGGTCCTTGTGTAGTTGCTTCAATATTTCCAATACAATAATTATTACGAATGTCAAAAATGCACTATCCTATATGTCTTTACACGGGTTTGGGAGGAGGGATTCAAGCACAATGGCAACCCAAGCAGTGTCATTGAAAAGAAGATGAATATTGTATTTGCTGAATTATATTTTGTGTATTTCTGTCTGGCAGTAAATAGTTTTGGTCCCGAAGCCGTCGTTACTCCTCTTGCTGAATGTAAGTTAGAACAATTATTTGTTACCAGCATCCTATGCTATTCTCAAAGGGCATGATAATGGATTTGTGTTGGTTAGGTTTCTTGAGCTAGTGATGTCAGTCACTGGAGGGTCTGGTCCACATTTGATTAAATACAGACTGCCAAGTAGTTGGAATGCTGACTGCGTTGATAAAAACAAAATAATATTCTCAGATTATAACGCCATGTTTTAGATCTGCAACCATTAAAAACAATGGCGACGTCGGATGAATATAACGATTGATCAACGTGCAGTTATGGACTTGCGTCATGGACATGATTCTGATTGCAACAACTGAAAACGAGAACTGTAGATTAAACTGCAAAAATGTGTAAGGATTTCAATTGGGAAAACATGGCAGTCATTCTATCACTGATAATGGAGCTTGGATATTGATGACCGTCCATTAGACGACGGAGAAAATGAAGCGATTTGTCCCATCCTTGAGTAACCGGTGTATTGTCTACCGTTGTGATGACACCCTGGACCCATTCGCTACCATGTCCCTGCTTCCACGCGGGTGGTTTAACTTCACTTGTCCGATATAGTGATTTGATGGGAAGGTTATATTCATTGTCAAGAGGGGCGGTGGGGTAGCCAAGTGGTTAAAGCGTTGGCTCGTCACGCCGAAGACCCGGGTTCGAATCCCCACATGGGTACAATGTGTGAAGCCCATTTCTGGTGTCCCCCGCCGTGATGTTCTGGAATATTGCTAAAAGCGGCGTAAAACCAAACTCAGTCAGTCAGTCAGTCATTGTCAAGAGTTTTGATCGAATCGGCCTCAAATAGAAACAACAGTTGGTCGAACCTGGTGATTTTATGAAGATGTGATTTCTTTTTTCAGATGATCGATTATTATATCGGTGGTAATTGTTTGTTTTTCTGAAAAATGGCAACGCAGGACATGGTATGTAAAATGCGTGCAGGTTTTGAAAAATATGAAGCAAATTGTTACTTTCAAAAGTAAATGAATGGGCCAGCAAAAATGAGGTTCTGTGCCTTTTTTCTTTTACCATTTTTCTTTTACCATTTTTCTTTTACCATTTATATAATGATCCCCCATCACCCAGTACCAGTACTTGCCAAAAAGGTCTCCTCGTACCGGGATGCCAGGCTTTGATCCCTATGCCATGCCGGCACGACACGGCGTTTTACATCTTTATATGAAAACACTGCTAGATATATATGTTAATTGGAGAGACCGACGTCGCCAATAATGTCTTGTCTCCAGCTGCAATTCAGGAGGTCGAGAGATTTGGTGGCAGTTAATGATGATGTGAACAAACCTGGTTCAAGGCCCAACGCTATTTGATGAAATACTGTAGTGGCACGTGGTTCCCATTGTTGACCTCCCTGAAGCCATCTGTCAACACAATGCCCGACTGTATGTAACACCTGAAACTACAGCTTTTCTAATATACAAGTGTTCCCGCTGTTTTTCGCCGGATTTCTAACTGGTAGAAAACCTTCTGGGCGTGGTGGATCGTCACGTATGACGGCGTAAACTGGAATCACAGAGATTTTCGAACCTGCATATACAGTCCCTATAACGCTCATTTCATCAATGCATAGGGTGAAGCCCATTTCTGGTGTCCTCCGCAATGATATTGCTGGAATATTGCTAAAAGCGGTGTAAAACCAAACTCACTCGCTCACCCAATGAATAGGAAGTACCAGGCAGTAGCATGCTTCATGTGCATATTTCAATGCGCAAATCCGCCTGCTTGTATATGCTCGAAGCGCTACTAGTGCCCAAAGCAGTGGATGGTTGCACTCAGTTTTCATTTTCAGCTCCCGAGGACGAATACAACCCAAACTGCCTGTGGTCTGCTAGGTTACGTCACGTTACCAGCCTCCTTCCGGGTACCCATTTACTGCAGTATGAACGGAGGCCTATTTCGAATATAACCACAATCCTCAGTAGATGTTGCATCTGCTACACGTGCTACAAAGTGGGGCAGGACCTAAGTACTGAACACGACCACCCATTCAAATACTCCCCACGACCAACGGCATGTTCTATTACCTGCTTGTGTGCCGTACACCTGAACAGGTTCTACACAAGAATATGGGACGCTAAATTTGGACAAACTAGCGTGTGATCTCAAAGTACCTGTCTGTTGTTATTTTTTTTTCTGAAAATAGGTCATCACTCAGTGTTCACGGCCCACTTGCACAAAGCGATCTTAGCGCTACGACTATCTTAAGCCTATGTCAGAGAAGGGGAGTTAAATCATCGGAGCGCTAAGATCGCTTTGTGCAAGTGAGCCCACATATTCGGTAAATACAATGTATGTTTCTTCCCATCCATGGTCAGGCTCGCTAACTTGGTTGACACATGTCATCGGTTCCCCATTGCGCAGATCAATGCTCATGCTGTTGATGACTGGATTGTCTGGTCCAGACTCCATTATTTACAGACCGCCGCCATATAGCTCGAATATTGCTTTGTGCGGCGTAAAACTAAACTCACTCTCTCACTCATTCTTCCCACCCATAAATATAGTTATGTGATTCTATCTTTCTGAAGATGATGTCGTACAGTAGTCATTCGAGAACTGCACGTCCATATGTTTCTGTACCCGTGAAGATCAGGGTTAGAATGATCTTCAGCAACCCATGCTGCTGATCACTGGATTGTTTGGTCCAGACACGATTATTTACAGACCGCCGCCATATAGCTGGAATATTGCTGAGTGTGCCGTTAAGCAACAAACAAATTATATCTTTCTGACAAAGAGGAAGGGGTGTTGATATTACCCATACTTACCAGTAGCCTATTAAATACGGTGTTTCTGCAAGTAAAATCGACAAAACCATTTCCATAATAAGAATTCTGCTAAAAACAGAATCAAACTATTGACTATATTACGAGGATGTGTGGATACAATACCTATCAAATGGTTATGATACCAGATGTTCGCGTGAAGGTGAGGTCATCCAAACTTACGATGCATTCCTTCACAAACACCTGGAATGGCAAGCTAAGGTTAACCTGAAAAAGAACACCTCGGAACATCTGGTGCAAGAGAAACTAAATTGCATCGGACAGCCTGGTGTGTCACATCTGGAAATAACTGACATAAAACCTCTTGGAAACTTGACTGAAGCCTGGAATATTGTCGCCCAATTAAGCAGCTCTTGAGCATTGGCACTTTTGGAGTTTGGTGCAGTATTGTGGTGGGTTGCCTGAAACAACAAACGAAGTATTTCCCGAAACAAGTCAAGTGGATGGTTTGTTGTTTTACGCCGCACTCCGCAATATTTCAGCTATATGGCTGTGGTCTGAAAGGACTAGTAATCGAGTCTGAACCAGACAATCCCGTGATCAACTGCATGGGCATCGATCTACACAATTGGGATAGTATGGCATCAACCAAGTCAGCGAGCCTGACCACCCGACCCGCGTTAGTCGCCTCTTAAGACAAGCGGGCGGTGGGGTAGCCTAATGGTTAAAGCGTTGGCTCGTCACGCCGAAGACCCGGGTTCGAATCCCCACATGGGTACAATGTGTGAAGCCCATTTCTGGTGTCCCCCGCCGTGATGTTGCTGGAATATTGCTAAAAGCGGCGTAAAACCAAACTCAGTCAGTCAGTCAGTCTTAAGACAAGCATGGGTACAGTGCATATAGACCAAATCTATCCCGGATCTTCACGGGCAACAAGTCAAGTGACCAACGGTAGATATTGACTTGTAATGAGATGATATGTGACCATGGACATGACCGTCTTTAATTTTCTTTTGAGTCTCGGGGAGCACGAGTGGTCGAAAGAGTCACCGGAAGTTGCTGTGCAGAGTGGCGTCCCTCATTGTGCAGGATCCACTGATCTCGGTTGCAGTCTCAGATTAATACATCTTTAGTTAGTCAACATCATGTCCATGAACGTAGGCTTCACTAAGGTAGTAAATGTATATTTTATAAACAAGCCTAGGCATTTAACGTGACTCACCCACTTGTTCTACTCAGGTCTTTAACGTTTACTCTTCTGGATGTATAGACGGAATTGGATCTTGTTTTGTGTTCACTGTGTATAGCGTTATCAGTACACATGGCTATGTTTTGAATGTTAAGCATCTGTAAATATGTGTGATCTGCTTTGACGTTATTTGGTGATGTAGAGGGTAATGTCCGAGTAACTCTCCATTCCTTAAAAATAATTGAGCAGAGGCCCGGGAGGGGTCGAGGCACATTATTTTTAAGGAATGGCGAGTTACGAGGATATTACCTTAGGGCCTACTTAATTGCATTCAAAGTATTGGGAATATTCTGTTATCAAAATTAAATGACAAAATGAAGTCTTTAATTTGAAATTGGTACACATCGCTCCATTCCTGAAAAGTAATGGAGCGAGCAGACAATGAAATGACGTCACAAATGTAATTTTATACAGTTTCTCATTTGTCTCGAGGGGATTAAAGCTGTGCTTACCACCATGTTTGTTGTTTAACGCCGCACTCAGCAGTATTCCAGTAATATGGCAGCCGTCTGTAAGTAATCGAGTCTTGACGCCGTCTTAAAGCTGCTATAGCTGAATGCGGCGTTAAACAACAAAGACGAATACTCCCTTACCCTTAAGCATTTACCCACAGCCCTGTCGAGGATACACCGCGGTTGTTTACACGTTGTTCAATCAGATGTGCCATTTCACCGTAAACTATTCTCCACTGTAATTCCCAAGTCACGATATATCTGATTATTTCAGACGGGAAGACCGGCAAGTCAATACCGAGCTGCGCAAACCTGCCTCGAACAGCGCCGAATGACGTCAGCTCTCGCCCGTCGCTAAGGTACATGATGGATGCAGCTTCCTCGTCGTGTCCGAGGTTAATTAAGACAGGGATAATCTACAACAGCGTTATATAGTCTCCCTGATTAAGAGCTGGCGTTCCTCGTATATACCAGTATTTACAGGGGACCGCCTCCGTGGTGTAGTGGTTAGAGCGTCCGACCGGAGAGCGGAAGGTCGTGGGTTCGATCCCCGACCGCGTCATACCAAAAGACGTTAAAATATGGTACTTGTTGGTCCCTGCCTGGCGCTCGGCATTAATGGGTACAACAAGGACTGGTCAGCTCGGAGTCAGTATAATGTGTCTGAGTGGGGTATTCATGCTTCACTGCGGCATGGTATCTCAGTGGGCTAGCACTATAAAAACCAGCTTAAGGCTGGGCTAGTACAAGCAGCCGCACATACACATACACACGCATGCACGTCGTCATATGAGCGAAATATTCTTAAGTAGGACGTTAAACCCAATTTCACCTCACCTCACCTCACCTCACCCCACCTCACCTCACTTACAGGGCTACTACTGAAGGGTCACCTGTATGGGCATCTTGGTTTCTTGGTTTAGTGTTTAACTATGCGTTCTGCAATGCTCCACGACGGGGACCTGGAAATAATCGCGTCTGTAACAGACAAGTTGTTGATGTTGTATGTCATGAAGAGGTGACATGTCGTCACTGTCGTCCAGCACAGCATGCTGGGTTCAAGGCTCAGGGTTTGCATTCTCAATAAAACTATCAATGGATATCAGTAACTGTCTGCCATGGGCCATGATCACATGACGACGTACAGTCTGACAGTAATGGAGACGCGAACAAAGAACACAAGACCTGGTAACTGGTGACCAAAATTGTCTATTTAGACTTTGTCACAAAACACGGACCATAACTCATTGTAATTAGGGGCTTTCGCTTGCATTAATAGTAACAGCAGCAGATAACAGCAGGTACTTGAAAGCGACAATGCCCTTTCTAAAATATTCAGAAATCTCAGATTAAGATGTGTCCACTGTACAATTCCGATTAGATCAAAAACATGTTTCATACATTTAGGTTTACACTTTCTCAGGAATGTTCAGATTCTAGCCTTTCTAGGGAACTTCTATGGTTGAGTACCATCCGCATGTGTTTGTGTATAAATGCATCGATTTCTGAGCAATGAAAGTTGTGTCGAAGCCACTGTCTGAGTGTAATGGTAGATTGAAGCCGCGGTTCGGAAACACTTTAAATGAAGGACCAGGGGGTCCATGGTTCACAACACGGGTAAGAGAGTTATCTCGTTATCCTCAACCTGAGGACCAACCTTTTTATGTCGGGATTTTAAAAAGTTGGCTATATAAATTAAATATTTTAAATTAATTTGTCCTCCTGATCCCCGACCCCGACCCACAACCAAAATATACAGTTTTGCTGAATGTGCATGATGTCGGGAAAAAATGCTTTGTAAAAAGAATAAAATTGTTCATCAGCTCCCTTACTGTAATTCATCAGCTGGAATTACGCCTTGTACAGTATAGTCTCTGACTATCAGGCCTACCAAAGAAAAAATTCCCACTGTGCAGAAAAGCCCACATTAATCGTGAAAATAGCAACATAAACATAATACCTCGCTACTGAAACAGTAAAAACGGCAACTTTAAATCGCTTACACTGCATCATAAAACGAGGAGCCCGCAACTTCGATTTTGCGCATGCGCACATGGAAGAGGAAGTCTCGACCGCATGTTGAAATTTCCAGCTTGGACAAAAGTTACATTCCTTTTTAACTATTTCAGTTGTGTTATTTGGCATTTATCATCATGATACTTGTGTGCACACTTGTTTAGTTTAGTTTCCATTCGTATGAAACGATTGAAAGCAATTATTTCAACATATTTAATACTTTTTCTACGCGAGGCGATTCACGGTTGCTCGGAAATTGGAAAGAAGCCCGGATCGTAATGCGCATGCGCAGTAGAGGTCAAAGTTCGCTGATATCAAAAGTGTTGCAGTTTCATAGTTTTTCGTTGCCGTTTTTACTGTTTCAGTAGCGAGGTAATGTGTTTATGTTGCTATTTCCACGATTAATGTGGGTATTTCTGCGTTTTTCTTCACAGTGGGAAAGTTTTCTTTGGTAGGCCTGACTATCCTGAACGTCAACGTCCTGAGAGATGAGGCAACAAGGCATAAGCAGCATGGTGTGGTCTTCCCGCTGTCCTGAGTTTAACCCCACTCAACTTCACACAGCGCTCTACTGCAATGAGCTTATGACAATGCAAAGAGCTTCAGGGTACTCCTCCGCTCCCCAAACCAACTTCTGTTTGTAACGAATGAGGAACTGAGGTGATATTTTCATTTTCAGTTCATTTCGTTTTCTGGAAATCCAATATTTTATTGATGACCCTTCAGAAGTTGGGCTGAGTATATATGTTATCGAAGTCGTGAGGTCCTAACGTAAAATATACAGCCATTAGTACTAATCTACCTTGGGGCGATGGGGTAGCCATGTGGGTGAAGTGTTGGCAGAAGGTCCGGGTTCGGTACATACGTAGCCTTTTATGACGTTTGTGAGTGGAGAGCTTAGAATAATAACGACGATAAATTATTATTTTTTTATATATATATTGTTAAATTTTATTTTATTTTATTTTATTTATGTTTTTAAATTTATTTATATATATTTATTTGTTATAAAAAAATTGGGGATACCCGTGGGTTACACAGAAAGCATGGTATTCTGTAATTCGGCTGCTTATTTGTCCATTTGTCCATCTAACAGTCCGGTGCAGGTCTGTGGATTTTGGTAGAGACTAGTGTTGGGAATTGGTTGAAATCTCACAATTGATGATTGGTTCAATACCAACGACCAATCATCGAAAAACATTCCTATTCAGGTTGTAGTTGCAGATAAGTATAAAGAAAAAAATGTTTGGTTCTCTGTTGTTTTTTAAAACTGCTCAAATTACATTTGCAGATTTCACATCCAGTGTAAAATGATTCAGTTCCAGTGTAACATAAACTTCCCAGATTCTTCAAGAAATATTCAGTCATGACTTTTCAGAAAGTGAAGTGAGTTTTCTTAAAAATAAACACGTTTTCAGGCCCTGACAAAGTCCTAGGATATGTTCTATCATCAAGTATTTCAAACTCTATTACAGCGGTTCCAAAATCGTTTGTTCGATTATGAGAAAATGTGATCGATTGCTTGGTCGTTTGGCCACTGCGACCAATCTTCGATTATTTCAATTAATCGGAACACCACTAGTAGAGATAGGATAACATTTCGGTCGTTGTTAAGAACTCATTTTTTTTTACTGTGAATGGTGGATCGAACCAGTTAAAATATAATTCACATATTTAGTCTTCATACCGCATACAATCATTTCTAATAATTTGATATCACTCGAGGACTGATATTTTGTCTCAAACAATTTATAAATTAAAACAATAAGTCCAGACTGGATCGGGTTGTTAAGGTTATTAAAACGGCTGACTGCTTGTTGTTGACAGGGCGTGGGTCGTTGCTCATAATATCAATCACTGGTTTGTCTACCCATGAAGGGGCGGTTAGGTAGACTAGTGGTTAAAGCGTTCGCTCGGCACGCCGAAGACCCGGGTTCGATTCCATACATGGATACAAAGTGTGATACCCATTTCCGGTGTCCCCCGCCGTGATATTGCTGGAATATTGCTAAAAGCGGCGCAAAACCCAACACACTCACTCACCCATTTTGTCGACAGATTTTGTATTACTTATTGTTATCATATTACCTGTTTTAGTCACAATATGGCTGAGATATTGCCGAGCTGACTATAAATTTTAACTCACTCACACGCTCACCCACAACTCGATTATTTACAGAGCATAGATGGAATGGTGCTGAATACAGAATTACACAAGAAACAAACTAAAGCATTGTCAGTTGATGTTAGACCCGTGAAGATCCGGGCTAGAATAGGTCTTCAGCAACCCATGTGCTTGCCATAAAAAGGTGACTATCTTGTCGTAAGAGGCGACTAACGGGATCGGGTGGTCAGTTTCGCTGACTTGGTTGACACATGTCATCGGTTCCCAATTGCGCAGATCGATGCTCATGCTGTTGATCACTGGATTGTCTGGTCCAGACTCGATTATTTACAGACCGCCGCCATATAGCTGGAATATTGCTGAGTGCGGCGTAAAACTAAACTCACTCACTCACTCAGTTGATGTTATTTGCCTTTAAATACGTGTCTTCTGTCAGTGTGACCTTTCATGATTAGCGCATAACTAAATGCACGAGTAATTTTCTCCACACCAGACCATCAAGAGAGGAGAGTCGGGCGTTAGAGAATGATCTCAACACAACGCCGGCATTCAGGGCGTTCGTCAGCAAGAAACTGTCGCAGATTGTGGACAGGTGTGTGTAATTAAAGGGATTAACCTCGCAACAATCTGACACCGTTCCAAAAACGTAGACCGTAAGTTGTTTAGCTTGTGAATTTAGGATATGTTTTTTCAGCTGTGTTTTATTAATGGGATTAACTTCACAACAATCTGACACCGTTCCAAAAACGTACACCGTAAGTTGTGTTGAAAGAACGTTTTATACTGTGTTTTATTAATGGGATTAACTTCAGTTAGTTTAGTATACGTTCAGTTAGTTTAGTTTGTGAATTTAGTGTATGATTTCTGTTTTGCGGAACAAACATCTGACCAGCCATATTTGAACTTACAGAACAAGACAAGTCATTATTGGCAAATCCATTAAACGGATTCAACAGAGGACAATTTTAGGGTTTAATCCTGAAATGTAATGATAAATTCGGTTAACAAATATAAAGTTGGATAATTACGGCAACCGTGTCTCCACTTCCGACATCACATTACACCAACGCTATTTACTGGAAGAGGACTGCCTTACTGGCATTGGTAGGCTGTTGACATGGAAACGATTGTCTTTTGCAGTATGGTAGAAGTTACTGAAATGAAGACGGCACCCACTGCTTCCACTGCTTCAAACAAGGAGACAGAAATCGGTTAGTGCATACCTCCCGATGTATAGCGAACAACAGTTTCTAAGACATCCATGGACTGAAGTCCATCAGCTGTGGTTATGAACATTGTTTTAAATCCCGAAAGGTCTTTGAAAGGTTTCCTTCCAGCGATCATTCCTAGCAATGCTTATTCCCTCACATTGTGTCGTTTTTTTTGTTTAGGGTGACTGTTTTTTCGCTTCTCTGGTTTTATCTACACATTTGATAGCTACAGCTTCACTGTGCGGAAACGGGTTTCCATTGTGACCTATTTAGGTCACGTGTCACTTTAAGCCTTCCAGTCCATGGATACTAATCAATGGCTTCCTTCCGAAATTCTCTGATAAAAGAATGTCGAGCAGTGATAGGGATGGAATAAGTGTGGATGATGAATCTTTGATGACTCGATGAGGAATTGAGGACGACAGCGAGAGTTTATAAACTTGACCAATCTTGCCCGTTTGCTTCATCCATTGTAGGTGTCCGTCTCTTTTCAAGTTGCACGAGTCCCGTGAGCTTGGAGGATCGTACGCCTGTAAGGAAAGGTGTCTCCAAACGCCTTGTTGAAAGTAGTTCCAGCGACAGGTAATAACACAAAAACTCTTCTGAGTCCTGATGATTCACGTACATTATCCAAGAAACAAATCTTTCTAAAATCTTGCACAAAGTCGACTTGACAATCAGTTTTGTCATCTCGAAATCAAGGGTGCATGTGACTAAATGCCGTTCAAGGCAGCAATAAACCCAAATCACTCACTCACTCTTGTATGTTGCAGCTCAGAAGACGAGAGGTTAGCCTCCGCAGCTGTGTCACACGACTTCATATTCAAAGACACAACGTTTTCAGGTTCTTCTAAAACTTGCAAATCCGATCCAACAAACACTCATTGTGATGTGGTAAAATTAAAAAAATCCAAAAAGAAAAAGAAGAAAAAGGTCCAAGATCTTTCAGAAATGTCACCACAATCGATGGCGCACGATGCGGGAGACGCTGTCGATGCCGAGGATGACAACGAGCATACAAACGCAAACAAAAAATGTAAAAAGAAAAAACAGAAGAAAGAGAAGGGAGAATCCTGAGTGTGGCTGAGAAAGATGAAAGTGTCTCGATCAGGGCTGTGCTGTAGCAACAGCCTGCCCTGAACGTGAATGAGATTGAATGAAGTTCCTTGCCATCAGTGTTCATATCTTATCACTTCGTTCCACCAATTGAGAATGCTTGGTCAGGGCTGGGAAGAAATACAGCCGGCCGTGAACATGGAGGATATATTGTTTGGGTGTTCGGGTGTAACGATGAGCACCCATGGTCGGGGCTATGTTGATTGTTAGTTCCTTGTTCCATTTGCCATACTGCCTAAACAGACGTGATGGGATTCCAGCTTTTATCAATAATGTTTCAATAAACAATTCCGAGACGGGTTTGTTGTTCGTTCTTTTCATGACGCATAATGGAATTCCAGAGGATGTTTGAATAGCACAGATGAAAAATATGACCAACCTGAGAAAACTGTTGAATATAAAGTACCCCCAATAACTGTTTTATATGAACATCACATTAAAGTGTTACACATGACAAATATACGGATTATATCACGTGAAAACAGGTGCAAAATCAACTGTCCTCTGTACGTGATGTTCTTAATGTCCAGATTGCTTAAACGCTCAGATCCGTTCAAGAGAACGGGGCATACAGAATATCACTTCTCTTAAAACTGAGCATTTATACTCAATGCGCTTTTTGGGTCTTAAAACCATTATCAAATTGTAAAGTTTATTTTCTGGCCTCACTTGTTTGTTTACTCATGTCAGCAAACGCGAACATTCGTCACCACTCGTCTCTTTCGGTAACCTCCAAGCTTGTCCAGGAATAACACGAGTGGGTCACGTGTGCAAACGCGAAGTCATATTGAACAGTTATATTTCTTATGTATGTATAAGCCTGAAGCCCACATTATTTGTACCATGTTCACCGATGCTTTGATATATAATGTTTAGTGATTATCTTTAGGTAATTTTAGAAAATATTTTTTAGCACTTCCGGTTCAAAAATCAGTTCAGCTCCGTTGAATCTAGAGGCGACCTAACATTACATTGAAACGACAGGAGGGTATTCTCCTGGATGATGTCCGAAAATGGCTATCATCGATTGCCCACCGAAACAGATTCATCATGCGTTGAAAGCTATAAATGTACAGCGGCAAACAGTACCATTGACTACTCACGTGATGACTCCCAAGTATTTGCGATAGGGTTTATCCAAACCCTTAACAGTTCAGGTATATCGACGATCTGTGCCATTTATGACGTTAGTAATCCCTTTTGCTGATGTACCAACCTTTGGTGGCAGCACGTTTTGAGGTGAGACCGATTACAAAGAGTATCATACCGGCCTTGGGGCTGTGGGGTAGCCTAGTGGTTAAAGCGTGGCTCGTCACGCCGAAGATCCGGGTTCGATTCCCCACATGGGCACAATTAGTGAAGCCCATTTCTGGTGTCCCCCGCCGTGATATTGCTGGAATATTGCTAAAAGCGGCGTAAAACTAAACTCAGTCAGTCATACCGGCCTTACTCAAAAGTTGATTGATGGAGGTTACTTCAGGCTTCAGCCAAGCTTTTAAAAAATATGTCAGACACGTGGACGCCATTTTGAAATTTGCCTGGATCCATGTCCGATGCAATCCCTCTTTTCTCTTGTATCACGTGTCCCGTGTTCGTTTCTTTGTGAACACTTGACTTGCCTTTGTGTGTATTTATGACGGGTGCCGCCCTTGGGAGCAGGATACCTTTTCGCCAACACTTGGCTTCATCACTATTAAATAATGATTCATAAGCACATGTTTATTATATAGTAAGAATCGCTCCTTTCAGCAGAGATGTCCTTGTGTAGGATGTATTTCTTTTATTGAAACTGTTCCACGTCAATATTTGTTTTAATATCCTCTCTGTAGCATGCCCTGCTTCTTTGATATGATGTATTGGTGACGGAAATGTCAGCCAATGTGAAACCCATTTCTTGTGTCCGCCTCCAGGATATTGCTTAAATATTGATAAAAGCGGCATAAAACAACCATATTCACTCACTCATCCACTCCTTGATATGACCACGCTCTTGCATCACATTGCAAGTGAGTGAGCGAATATTGTAATGCGCTTCTTTTGGCAAAATTCCATCAATATCACAAGGTAAACTAGGAACGAGTTTCATACATTATTAAAATTATACCCAATTCGGAACTCGAACCCATGTCAAACTTTTGTCGAACAAACCGGCAAGTGGTTTCGTTAATTGCATGCCATCGAGTCCCTTGTCCATTGATCAGCCGCTGGATTGTCTGGTCCAGATTATATAATCTACAGCTTGCCGTCATACCTCTGGAATATACTGAGGATATCAAACAACACTCAACCAAACCATAGCTAGGCAGGACTTTATGAGAAGTTACTGATCCCTTGTTAGCGTGCATCGACCAGAAGGGCGTTTACAACTAAAACGCTTTCAAGACATTAACTGGGACATTATCTGAACAAACTACCACAGTACTTACCGTACGTTAAACGTTCACACGTTGCCATACCGACGGTTAGATAATGCGTCATATCCTTTTCCTCCGCTTCGGAGAAACTGCCCCGTCACCATTAATCTCCAACTGTCAGGCGAGAAGTCTGTTCTAGAACAATGCTTCCTCCAGATAGTTTGTCTTGTTTCCTCCTAATGGGGTATTTTTACGACCCACAATTCTCAATCGAACCAATCCAACAATAGAACACTTCAGAAAACTCCTCATAACACAACTGGATTGGGAAAGTGTGTGTACTTAAAGTGTTTATGTTCACAGTACTTGCGTGAATAGATCATGTCCGTATGCTTTTGTTTGTTGGTTAGCGCTGCACTCAGTGTGCGAATTAGTTTCCAAATTGTGCAAGCCAGCCGGACCAGCTGGCTTGAACGTTACTAAAGTACTGTCGGAAATGCTAGAAAAATGCTTTTTAGCCGTAATATCTTTATAAAGGTGATAAATGTACTATGTTGTCAATATATCAACTCGCCTATTGTCTACCTAATTTTTATTTCAATCGATTTAACATTCCCATGCATTTAAAGGGCAGTTTACAGGAGAGAATTTGGTACCAAAACAGGAACTTAATATTTTTTTCAGAGTTCAACAACAGAAATCTGAAATAGTCTTTACATTTATGCTAATAATACAGGTGGTGTAAATGTATGAATTAACGTTTTTCCTAAACAAATAAATATTCAATGTTTGTGTTACTTTACTTAATTATCGTTTCTTTATTGAAGAAATATTATTATAAATGTTAAGTCTTGATAAATAAGTTTCCCGTCATGCATGCACATCTTTATCACAGCGTCCACTATGGCCAACGATTTGCAGTCGATTGTTGCAAAGGTTTATAGGTTTTTTCTGCTTACAAAAGACAGAGTTAAACCTTTCATTAGTTTAGAAAGGGTTTATTACAGAACTTGTAGAGCTGTTGGCATGTCTTACCAACAAGTTTACAATATTGTAAACAAATCAGACAAGACAGGGACCGTCTCAAATGCAAAACCGGGACGTAAAACCATCCTTGGTAACTTTGACAAGGGAGTGCTTAGACGGGCGGTCTACAAACTTTATGAGAAGAAAAATATACATATTCTATAGAAGCTACACCAGTGACTTCGTTAAATCTTTGGCCAATGTTCAAATCTAGATTAAACTGACCGAATTACATCCATATGTTTTCAATGAAATATACTGTTGACATGCAAAACATTTATTAAAACGTTGCACATTTCTACAATCAATCGATAAGATAACACAAGTGATTGGACTCTTTCCAATGTACAGTAATTCGTATGTTTATTTCAAAACAAACACACATACACAAATGATCCCTTACATAACCGATACGTATACTATACGTACACATATTCAACATTTTGCAGAAAACATCTATTGAGATGACCCCTCGCCCGAGCGTGTTCTCAGGTGTCAATTTCACCTGTCGATACCGTGGATGCTGATGACGTAACACAGGCAATTAATGTTTGTATCAAATAACGTCCCACTACCCCTTATTTTTCTAAGTTTTTGGTATTTTCATCAGTAAAAAACACATTTTAGGGCATGTCTTAAAATTTATTCTCTCGGTCTACATTAGGTAGATGTTTCTTGAAGTGATATTTGTTATTTAAGTAACTTTAATACCTCTTAGTTTTAAATATAAGTCAAAAAGCATTTTTCTAGCATTTCCGACAGTACTTTAGCCCGTTACTAGCCCACAAAATAATTCACTACCCCGAAATTTGAATGCAGACACGGGTTTCAGCATTAAGCTGCCAATATGATGAACATTTTAATCGGGCTATAATCGTGCATGATTTAAAAGTGTATTATAACTTGACAAGTCGGAGAGAGTGATGTATTTACAAAATGACCCCATGAAAATTCACTAGCCAGTCGAGCGAGTGACTGTGGAGATTAACTGGCCCGACTTGATTTTTACTAGCCACGGGCTAGCGGGTCAGTGGCTATTTCGCACACTGGCTGCACTCAGCAAAATTACAGCTATCTGGTGGCTGACAGCCCAAAATCCACTGACCAGCAGCATGAGCATCAATCTATGCAATTGGGATACGATGACATGTGGCAAGAATGATGACAATATACTTCTAAAAATATTCAGAGTTTATATCACAAAATCGCGAAACATAAATCAAACAGTGATATCTGTACCAGGAGATACGATATAAGGCAAACAGCCGGTGCCCTGGCCCAGTCTCTAAAACATGGACGTGTCTCAAGAAACTGCCAGTTGCCGTGTACCATAGCGACACTTTCAGATATTCCATCGATTTCAGAAATCGAGTTCCCCTGTGACGTAAGGCAAGGACGCTGGATTCTTACATCGAGGGCTTGATCAGGTCGGAACTGCAAATAGAAGGTTTTGACCTATTGAGACAGCAGAATGATATATACCGTTCCCAAAAAGTAGGGGATATTCCGTTTTGCGAGCATACTACTAGCCAATGCATTAGAGAAAAAGTAATATATATCCATACAGATGAAACATTTCCAAAGGAATTGAATAAATTGTCACATTTTCCCTTAATTTTCTTCATCATCTGTTTCCTCCTTGGCTTCATCCTTTGCAGTTTATCAATCTTGTAAATCCAATATTCTCTACTTTTTTGAATGGTATATTTTGGAACACATTCCCCTTCCATGGTGATTTCCTCCTCCCCCCCCCCCCCACACACACACACTTTTGCCACAAAGACGAGAGGAAGTTATATCAGCGTGGTCCTTCTCCTGGTTGTATGGGGCGGTGGGGTAGCCTAGTGGGTAAAGCGTTGGCTCGTCACGCCGAAGACCCGGGTTCGATTCCCCACATGGGTACAATGTCTGAAGCCCATT